AGAGAGAGGAGAGTAGTGATGACGTCACAAAAACTAAATTATTGGGTAGGTTGACATATCATCAATCAATCAATCAAGATAGATTGACAGATTGACATTCAAGAACGAAAGAAAGAACGAAAGAAGAAGGTGAAAAAGCCCCCTCACCAAAAATCAGCCTGTTTGTGCAAATCGGTGGGTTTGGGAGATATAAGCACTGTTAAAACTTAGCTTCTATCGTAACGTTTGCGATCAAAGCTAATTTTAGAAGGATTTTGTATGGATTCATCGGAGGTTAACGGTGCTTGTATCTTAACCCCAAACTCATGTTTTAAAATCAAAATCTAACAAATCATAGCGCAGGTTCCATCCCACCTTCTAGTCTAGGGTTAATTTTATGTAAATGAATTTCTTTCAAAATCATTAAAATTTGGACCTTAAATGTAAACATTGCAAACATAAAAGTAGCTATCCAAGAAATGGGACCCTGATCTGCCGATTGCCGTTTCGTTTGGTAAATCATTTCCCCAGGAGAACGTGAATGGATTAGAGCTCAAGCCACTGAAATTCTTTACGAAAGCAAAAAAATGCTCATCCAATAGACCTCATTCACGATACCCGCAATCTTTGCACGCGCCTACGGACTGATAGGATAAAAATAATGTCACGTGGTTTCTCAGGGGGCAAACAAGTGATAAAATGTGCCAATGCAAGAAATCGTGGTCGAGTTTGTATATTCTAGCCAAAAGAAAATGAAGAACTTTTTATCTTAAGGACGATAATGGCAAATTATGGGTGGAAATCATCAGTTACTTTTTTAGATGCAGTTAGGGAAAATAAACAACTCGACCGCGATTACTCGTATTAGCAAATTTTGTCACTTGTTTGCCCCCTGAAATACCACGTGACATTACTATTATCCCATCAATATCCTAAAGGGTTAGCATTAGGTAACATCAGCTGAAGTCAGATTGCTTCTTTCAGTAAAATTACATGAAGAACAACTAAAGTCCAACTTTACTGTGTAATATAAAAGTGAAATAGGAAAACTCCACTGTGATTGTTTGAACCCGGGTCACTTGCTTTATAAGCCTACATCCATATCCACTACACCATCGACGACTAGCTGCCAAATCCAGTAATTTTTAAAATATACATGTTCCTATATATGCCGTACCCCATTACAATATTTGAAAGCTAACCGTTTTCTGTTCAGTGCTTAACCCTAATCACTGCAGATTAGTGCTTAACTCTCTACTGTGTTCTCTCCATAACTTACGCTCTGTAGGTTTGGTTTCTTCAGCTATTCTAGCCTCGTTCTACATTCCATTCTCGTCCATTATGAAAATAATGCGTTGTGTAAAATTCATAAGGTGTCCAATCTGGCTTCACTCGATGTTATCTAATGCTAACCATCCTAAAGCGCGTGCAAAGATGGCGGGTAACGTGAATAAGGTCTATAATAAAAAACTGAATCATTGGATAACGCAATGCCATCTGGTATATGAGCCATTATACCATGCTCTTCAAATATGGTAACTGTACGCGTCTGCTAACAAAAATTCGGTTGTCTTTACAAATAAAGTCGGCAAGAATCCTCACGATTTATTTGACGTTTTTTAATGAAACAATTATTCCACTCGCGTTTGTTGGATATGAGACGATTATAGCCAACTCGTCGCTACGCGCCTCGTTGGCTACTGCCATCTCATTTCCATCTTGCTATAAGTCTCTAGATCAATCTAGATCAAAATTAGATCAAAAAATTAAAAATTAGATCAAAATTAGTTATTAAGGGAGCAAGCAGGTGCTTCGTTTATTAATTTGTGTTCCCGAAGGTTCTCTAAAAGAAAAATTAAAATTAACAATTTTCATTGTAGATAATACTGAGTAAAAGAAAGTAGTTATTGAAAAGGTCTGTGGATGAGATTTTTATTTACTGGCCGCCTAATAATATTTCGTGATGGGCTCCTGATTTCGTCGAAGACTTTTAAAAATGTCAGAACTATATACAATAATATGTCTTCAGTAAATTGCAATTCTGGATCGGAGTAGCCAAGCCTTTCAATCATCTATTTAAACTAGCCGAAGAGCAAACAACAAAATTTATTTTCGCTGCATTTTTATTAGGAGAATGTTAACAGGCTTCACAGAGAAATTAATTACAAGCTCTTGTACATTACTATTTCTTAGTAACAAGCAGCGCCTTTGCTTAATTTTTTTTTAACATTATCTGAAAAACCAAGAGATGATAAAATATGCAAAAATTCTGTCTTTTTTCACGTCAAAATTACTGCTCATGACTGGGAACGAAGCGCGATTTTCATCACAATATTGCCAAAAGTTCGCAAACAACAGAGCAATCGTAATATAGGCATTAAGTTTGTGTGTCTAGGTGCCTCGAATGTTGATTAAAAAAGTACCAACAAATTGACAGCTTCTGTCTTTCTAGAAATTTATCGCATTCATGTAAATTTGACATATGGAAAAATTTATCTTGTCCAGCGATAATTTCAGGTTCACAGAGTACTAATGAGCGTTTGTTTTTGGCGTCTAACCCGCCAATCCCCATTAATACTTGGTGATTGAACGAACGATCGAACGCTAAATTGACACCCTCTTCAAATTTCTCGGAATTTTTAATGGCTTACCCGCTAGCTTACGATAGATTCATGAAATACATACAGACCATCTATACTGAAAAGAACTGGGTGTGAAATGTATTTCTGTAGAATTGTGACACTTTAGTCTTCCCGTGAAAATGATCGCACCAAATAAATTTACTTCAATGGGGATTCAGAATCTTGACATTATTTTTTAAAACTCCAAGGGGTTTTCAAACGGATAAGAACTGAAACAAAGGTTAAGTAGACCAGTGTTACAACGTTTCGTCACTATAACAATATCGCAGTTAAATCCTCTTGTCGATTGAAAGAGTCACCTGCTTGCTCGGAATTAATTCAATTGCAAAAACAGAACGCAAAAGGAATATCAATTTTCCTTTAGAAGTTTCGCTCAATCCAGTCTTTCATGTGCTTGAAGATATCAGTTGCTGTCAGTTCTCCAGTTTATTTTCTTAAAAAGTGCCGAGAAAGAAATTCTTCTCACATTTTGCGATCATTCTGAGTAATTGTCGAATACGCGAAGACCACGTTTTTGTGAATTGTTTACATACGAAGACCTTTAGACGCTTCGTTTTGCGGGACAGTTCCTTTAAAGATCTCGTCGTCTTGAAATCGCCAGATCATTATAATATCGTTAGTACAATTCTTCTGAAAAGTTGTCCTCTAAATAGCTGGCCATCATTCTCGCCGACGCTGTAATTATACACCTGTATAAAATCACCGCGAAATTCGTCACAGAGTGCTTTGTCCAGGGGGCAAAACCGTCCAATTTTTTCGAGTGGCAAAATTTCACCGCCTTCTTTCCCTCCTCGAATTCTTGAAGTGTCTGTTTTGAATTCGTTACAATTGCGAGACAAAATAACTCAGCAAAAAGCAAAAGGCAGAAACGTGGTACCATAAAGCAATGGCACCGACAAAAAGCCCAAACGCCATATTGAGTGAAACGACAACAATAAACTCCTTTGTGGAACAGATGATTGTTTTGTTTGGCTATTGGTGGAGTAGAGGCCTGGTAATGATATTCTATCACGCATGTCTAGTACTGCCGCTGACTGCCGGCAGCTCACCGGCAAACAAGTTAATTCTTATCATCTGTTCGCTATTAAAGGATTTCTTTACTTTTAAGCCTGATGAGAGCGATCATTCAACGTGTCACAGCTGCAAGTGTTTCTGGTTAGTATTTTATGGCAATTTCTTTTTTTGTGTGTGTGCTGTAAACATTTCTTATATGCCCGATCGAGCCCAATACAGTTTACACATGGGCTATTGCATTTAATATCCGTATTCCCCGGTTGAGGACTTTCTTTTTGTTGCCTTTTCTCCCTACCCCTGAATATATACTCCTTCTTGGAGCATTTTATAACAACGGTTTGTGCATACAAAGCGTATTATGGGGGATTCCAAAATAAAGATTTGTCTTTGGTAAAATAGCGAGGGGCCCTGCGGTAAACTCCAGGGAGGGGGTGGGGGGAGGTGATTCAACAATGTTTTATATAGGGAGGCCTCGCTCCGAGGTCCAACTCCTTACCCTTTTATGTACCATTTTTAACAGAAAAGGTACCCCTTTTCATAGACCTTCTTTTGTCAAATGGTACCCCTACTCACACCCAGTTAAGAACTTTGTTAACTGCCATAAACGCACTGTCATTTAAATATGAATGAATAAATTGGAAAAAACAGAACGTTTTCTGGACTTATTCACAGCCATTAAATATGCTTGCTAGCCGTTTTAGACCTTTTTACAGCCTGAAAGGACATTTTTTCTTGCCGTTTCATAAACTTTAACAAGTGAATTCCCTACTCTTTCATTTTCCTGAAACGTGAAATAGGTACCTCTCTCGGGCATACCTCCCAATAAAGGCCATTATAGGGAGCATAGGCTAAGTATAGAAGTTGCACGCTTCAGTTGATGGGCTCCTGTCTGTAGCATTTTTTTAGGTACTCAAGTGGGTACTGGCGTACAAGTAGCTATGACCCTGCTGGGTGAAAAAATGAAAAAAATGAATTTTGAGCCATGACCACAAAAAAGACTCGGGTGCCCTGAAAGGGTGTTTTTGAATTTTTTCACTGAGTACCCTGCTCATTTCTATTGAGCAGGGAGGACAGGGGCCCAATCCTCCTTCCTTTTGACCTAACATTCCTGGCTCCCACCCATTTTTTCTTGGCTTTCTCCCTCTTAGACCCTTTTCCATCACAAAATATAAATATTGTTCCAGGAACTGAACCAAATCGTTTCCCTTTTGTGGACCTCTTTTGTGCCATATTCACTCAAAATAATAACAACAGCATTAGCAATTTGCATTCGTTAATGGTGACATGTCTTTGCCAAAACTTCATGTTTTTATTGCGCTACTTTTTGTGCTTAAATGTTTTACAAAATCTTTTGTTATCAGATAATTTTTCTCATTTTTATCTGTTTATTTTTTTGTAGTTGATGGTGAAGTAATCAGCTCCATTGGAAAAGGACTCTGTGTGTTAGTTGGAATATCTAAATATGACACCTCAAAAGAAATTGAATACATGTGAGTCAAAATGTAGCAATATCACCTCTTGGGAGCAAGGGAATGGCGCAGTGGTGAGAGCACTCACCTCCAACCAATTAAGGCACTTCTTCAAATCCAGGGGTGAATGCCACATGTGGGTTGAGTTTGTTGTTGAACTTCTCTACTTTGCTCTGCGAGGTTTTTGTCTGGCTACTCCGGTATTTGCCTCTCCTCAAAAACTAGGGGTGAGATCGATTGAACATAACATTACAAATCTCTTGTGCCATGATTTTTGGACCAAATGCTTGGAACATATTAACATATGTCAGAATATATTATTTCAAGCAGATTTACAGACATTGAAATGCAAACAAATGATTTTTGAAGTTTATTCCATTCATTCTTATTCTGGAATATTGTCAATTGAACACTCCCTAACATTCCCAAATTCCAATTCAACCTGGAATGGTAGACAAAGAACCAGCATGTGGATGCCCTTCCCTTTAAATTATTTGTTTATTTATTTATTTATTTTTTATTATGCATTATTGGATGAATGTTTAACCCAAAAAAAATCAACTAACTAGAGAAACAATACCCACTAATTTTTTATATGGACTGTCCTACTAACAATTACGGAGTCTGAAAAGCCTGGTTTGTCTTTTGAAGGGTGAGAAAGATTCTAAACTTAAGGGTCTTTGACGACAATGGACAACGATGGAAAAAGTCTGTGGTGGATAAAAATCTTGAAATTTTGTGCGTGAGTCAGGTATGAGCTACATACGTTCCATACTTTTTTTTATTATTATCATTTTTTTATTTTTAAAATATTTTTGTAAAGTGCCAATGAACAACTACGGGATGAGTGCGCTATAGAAGTGTCTTGTTATTATTATTATTATTATTATTATTATTATTATTATTACTATTAACTACACCTGTATGTCAAGTTGAAACTTGGGACACTTACCGTTAGACACACGTACAACTAGCCAGTGAGACCAGCTGTCATAGGGAGAATTTCACTGTTAGTCAGGAATTTCCTAGCCTGCGAACAGCAGACGCATTTCTGGTCTTCGCTTCTCTCCTTCCGAAGGGAGAGAAGTGACGACCGGAAATGCGTCTGCTGTTCGCAAGCTAGGAATTTCCAGCCATAACAGTCTATTCCTAAACAGGTTGAACAGCAGTGATGGGTTTTAGTAAAAACTCTTGCGAAATGCGTATTTCATTTTCAAAATGACCAGTCCATTCGGCCTTTTGTGATTTTTGGTAAGCACCCTGAGGTGTAAAGAATAGGTTTGCCATTACAGTCACCTGTCCCTGAGACATAAACCACCGGGTTCATTACTAAGGGCCTGTCTTACAGAGCTGTGTTACCCCAGGTGTGGGGAGGTACGCAGCAAAGTTTTATACAGGGTAAAAGGGTGAGGGGCTGGGGAAGGAAACATCTGAAAAGGTAGTTCTGTTAGCTGCCGAATGGAAATTCATGTTCCGTTTCTTCAAAGCCATCTTTGATACCAGTTTCAGGCTTTCACCGCCGTTTTTCGGTAAATGGAACTGATTTGTACAAACGGTAAACGCGATTCCGGGACGAAATTTACCAGTCCTGATTTTGCGTACCATTTGCCCAACAGTATACCCACCAGTTTGCCCATGTGAATGTAGCCTGCGAGCAACCTCTCCATTAATTTTTATATGGTGAGCGAAGCCAACCGCGAGAGAACGCGCGAGAGAACAGCAAAACCTCTCGCGCTCGCGTCGCCTTTCGCGTGCTACTCTCGCGTGACTTCTCGCGGCTCCCCTAAATGGAGAGGAGCCTGCTCGCAAATAATGTTAATAGAGACCTTTAGATTCGAGGAAGAGAACGACTACGAGTACTAGATTTGATTTAAAGTTTTTTCACGTATTGTCAAAAAATAGACACCCCGGAATTCTTCATTGTACTTTTTTCACCAGAAAAGTTAGCACTGTTATCGTTGTTGAAGGAGGTTGAGCTCTCTCCCGATAGCAAAATGTTGAAACTTCTTACATTTGATAACTTGTTCCCGCCACTACGACACTCTTGCTAAAACTCGTAGTAGAATGACGACGGCTACCATTTTTTCCCGCCAAAATGACGCTGCCTCACGCGCGAGCACTACCTTTGTTGAGAAAATCTCGTCCTCGTAGTCGTTCTCGTCTTAGTAGGCTGATTTAGCAACAGGACGGGAACGTCAGTTGACGACGGGAAAGCGCGCGGAAAGGGCTAAATACGACTTCCGGTGCTCAATTTGCCGCTCTGCCATTGGTCAAGCCAGTTGTTTGATTTGCGCGCGCCGTCTTCAACTGACGTTCCCGTTTTGTTGCTAAATCAGCCTAATATCTAAAAGGTCTCTTAATGGTAAACAAGTGGAAAGTACCCCGGATGTAGACCTGATCATTTTGTTTCTGTAGTTCACACTGCAAGCTGTTCTCAAGGGAAATAAGCCAGATTACCACTTAGCTATGGGTGGAGATCAGAGTGAGACATTTTATCAAGATTTTCTGCAGCACATGAGATCAACATACAGAGTTGATGCGGTAAAAGGTAGAAATTTCCAGAAGTCTTTTCCCTATAGATACAGTCGAACCTTCGCTAACGGTCATCACTCTACATCGGCCACTTTTATTCGTCCCGGCAGACAAAAAATCCATACGTTGACTCTTGTTCTAACCTCTCCACAAAGGCCACCTCTTTACAACGGCCACTTTCTTTTTTCGCTAAGGTGGCCTTTGTCGAGAGGTTCAACTGTAATCATCTAAAATATTTTGTAGGGATTCTTCCATGAGCTTTCTAAGTATTTTCATCTTAAGCTTCCTAAGCGGAAAGGCACCAACTGTTTGATTTTCCGACTGAAATTTCCAGTTTTCCAAAAATGAATGTAAATAGTTAGCCTGCGTACCGTTTCTTTTTAGCTAAGCGCCACAGGAGAAACGCGGGAAACGTACGCGTGCGCAACGGTGAGCAAAGAAGTAGAAGCAAGAACCACCCTCTTACTCTACCCCACTTTAATTTTTTCGCCCCTTTCTTGCGCGTCTCTTGGAAACGAAAACAACTGGCCAGTAAATAGGAAGTTCACAAATTCACTTGTGTCTTTCTTTGTGTCTGTGTCGCAAGTGAAAATTAGGCTTAAATCATCCTATATTTCTATATATATAATATGCAGTAACTTTATTTTTCTGTTCAGATGGGAAATTTGGAGCGTATATGCAAGTTCACATCCAAAATGACGGCCCAGTTACAATATCATTGGAAACGCCTCCCTCGAAACCGGCCCCACAAAACAAGGTGAGTTCTTGCTAGTATCGCTGTCTATTTCTGGGGATGTGCATTACCCTATCACCTTGGTGTGTCATCTTCGTTATCATCATCATCATCATCATCATCACCAGGGATAGGTTAACTTTCTAGATCTCACTGGGAGACAGCTAAGTCTGCACCTGTAAGAGTATATGGGATATAGTTTCCCCTAAGGCAAGGTAGTAGTGCCACGTAGCGGTTAGCTGCGAGTAAGCTCTCCATTTTGGAGTCTTCTTAAAAAATCACGCAAGAGTGGTACTCGAAAGGAGAAGCTTTGCCGCTCGCTTGTGTTCTCTCGCGAAAGTTAGCTCCAGCTACAGAAAGGCTTTCCCTGGGTATATATTTTTTTCTCGTACACGTGCAGCGGAATGCTTTGGGGAGTCGGCTGAAGGTTGACTCCCTCGGCCAAACATGCCGAACTAACGAGCCAATAAGGAATAAGGAATACTTGGGAACGTGTTTTAACTTTTTCTGTGTTTGTGGATCTCATATTATAAAAACATGGCCATGCATTCTAAATTTAAAAGCTGTGGGCCTGATTCTACGGGAAACGCGTTTGTCTTCAACCCGTCGTTTTTCACTAAGTATGTGCTTCGAAAATAATTAATAATAAGTCAGATGTGAGGTTAAGGTTCTCTTGATCTTTTATCTTGTTCTTAGGGGAAAAGAAATCCAGGCGAGGATGAAGTCAGTTCAACCAGCGCTGCCGATAAGGAAAAGGAGGAACAACTTAATGATTTGAGTAAAATGAACTTGGACGAAAAACAGGGCAGCTCTTGACGGATGAGAGACTCTTTATATGAACGTTTGTATTTTTCGTCTGTTTCACGAAATTAAAAAGAAAAAAAACATTTCTTTCCTGGTAGCAAAAATTATCTCCATCGCGGAAACTATTCGTATTATTCGAATAGTTAGTTCAAAGTAGAAAAGATAGATTATTGGAGTGCGTTTGATGGAGTGTAAGCGACACAAAATATTCTTCGCTTTCCTGCTTGGTTACACAGGATACCCATGAAACCACAGGATAGCTTCCTGACCAGAGAAGAGTTCTGTGACGTGCTCGAGTTTTGTAAATTTTTACTCGCTTGTACAGCTGGCGGTTTCCGTTGCCTGTGCATTGAAGAAAGGGGACATTCGTAGCCCGTTCTCGTTGCTTTGTGGCCACGTTTACTTCATCGTCAGGTTCGTTCTCCAACGAGACCGCCTGTTTAAAGTTGTGCAATAACCCTTTCACTGCCAAATGTGGCCAAAGGCAAATTTCGACCAAATTTGCAAATTTCATTTTCTAAAATTGTGAGAAATAAATAGCATCGTGTGAAAGTACAGGCAGAGAGCTTTTATTTGAATGGTCATATCATAGGATTTCGTCCATAGACTCAAAAGTTAGCGTCACCTTACAAAACTCCACCAAACACGACTCTGGCAGTGAAAGGGTTAATAACGTGGTACTTACTTGATCATCCGATGACGACGACGACGATGATGATGATAATGATGATGAAAATTAGTTGGATATGAGATTAGTTGTTGATAATGGACTACAATAATAATTGACTGTGTCAGGAAATCAGAGACTATCAGATCAGTTGAAGTTCCATTGAATAAAGTTTATTTTATCTTTTTTATTTTGTCAAAAGTATGGGGTATTAATGGCCTAGCCTCGCTGGAAGCGTTAAAGGGAAAAGGGATGAGGGAATTCGGGCACGCGAGGAGCGCGAGGGACGCAGGAAGAGGGGGCAAGGGGAATTTCTCGCGCGCCTCATTTTCCCCACCCCTTTCCTCTTTTAACGCCAGCCACGCAGCCCATTAATGGCCTTGTGGTGCGGAGCATTTTACAACGTAAGCAGTGAGGGCTAGTCAATAGGCCAATCCCGAGTTCTAAAAAGTTTCACTTTCAAAACCAGGCTAAGTGCAAACAGGAGCTGTACAAAACCTTTCTTGAGAAAATGAGTGTTATTTGCTTGAGAAAAAAAAATTTTTCATGTCAATGGCTTCGTACTTAACTTTGCTTTGAAGCACAGGCCTGAGGCAACTTGTTGCCCATCCCCCCCCCCATGTAGCGGCCGGGGCAGGCGGGGCTTTTACTGACTGGTGCACAGTGAAAAAGTCGTGCTTATCTTGCTGACTTGGTGGTGAAATTGAAGGGGATTTCCGAAGGAAAACCGAACATGACCGAAAACCAACCGAAGATTTCCAACTAGATTGATTTCACAGTTTTAGGGGAATTTTTTTCAAATACTTTTTCAAAAAAGTCCCAGTGAAAAAACTGTTCCGTTAAACTATTCAGTTAAATCCTTTAATCAGTTGAGGATATCGGTATAAACTCATTACCTGCTTGTTTCGTTGAAAGATCATCCAAGCGCGAATATTCGCCAATCAGGGCTTTCAGATGTAAATTGACACGTGATTTTTGGTCACGCTTGAATGGCATTGAATACCACGAGAAATTTACATACATGCACACATGTGGATGTTAAAATATATGACTTCATAAATACACACGGACAGGCGGATAAGCGGATGGTTACCCGTTAGGCTGGAGGCTCGACAAAAACGACGGAAACTTCGCGAGAAGCCATCGACGGGACAGTTAAAAAAGAATTCGATCGTACATGAAAACGTAGCTGTCGGCTGAACAGAAGTTTGAAGGAGAATGAAAGGAGGTGGGATGTAAATATGACTGTAATTGTTAACCTCAAAGTAGGCCAACCTTACCATTTCACACAATTATTTAATATTCAATTTAGATTTATACTTTAGTGTCCTCTTTCACGTTCATTTTCCCCAAACCTCGTCATCCACCTTCTAACGCCGCGTCCACGCTGAAATGACATTTAAAGCGACATGACTAGAAATTTCGTGACTATAGAAACTCTATTGACCCTCCTCGAAAAGTGTTCTTTACTTTCGAATTGTAAAACAAAAGACATTTCACTCTTGGTCTGGGAATTGATACGCGAATCATTGAATCCTACGTGAAGGGGAACATTTTTCCGCGGTTCTTGATAAATTTCTGTAGCGTATTCATTTCCGGTTCTGATTGTTTTCTAGAATACTTGATCTGCCCTAAAAGTTTCTAGAATTCACTCGTAGTAACTGCTTTTCTTGGATTTGAGTGTAACATAAAGTTCGATTTTTTTTCACCGAGGTATATTCATTTTATTGCATTGTCTAATCCCTGAATGTATCTGTACACCAGACACATCTTTGGAAATAAATTATTTACTACCAGGAGCTCTCCAAAAAGTACTCAATTACATATTGCCTCTAATATCAGTTAGGTTTTTCCGAAAATTGCACTGTCCTTCTGCTGTGATGAATTTCCCTTTGCGTCTTTGAATAATTTACAGCGTAAAATATTTCTCCGTTTTTTTTTCGGTGTTGATCAATGTTTGACAGGCATTTACATAGAAAAGCATGTGGTTTATCAAAAGCGCTAGGCAACTGGTTGAGTGACTGATAGACATGGCATGCTTCCTCTAGCCACGGCTAATATAATATCATCATATTGAACAGATTGAACGAGTTATTGTGACTTCTTGGGCCTGTGTTGAGATGCAATCACCGGAACATTCTATTTTTTAAAATTTATGAATTTATTCTAAACAGATAAGAACGGACATCCTCAATACCGGAAGGAGTCGTTGAGAGGTAGGTAAGACATTCCAGTATAATTTATCGAGCTCGAAATTATCATAAATTACCGTGAAGCTTAACACGTGACCTACGCTGTTTTGCGTCGGCCAAGCTTTGCCGTTCATCTTGGAAAAGTGGGAAAATCGCTTTATTTTTCTTTTTATTTTCCACGGGCGCCGTCTTGTAAGCCGGTATTAGCCGTCCTTGAACTTATCCCTGTAGTTTTAGTGTCTTAAGAATCTGTAAAGTCTTTTCCATGGCTTCGGAAACGAGAACGTCGATCATGGCTCATCCGAAAGTGGATGGGAAGAAAGACGGGCAAGATGAAATGGAGATTGACAACAATCAACACGTGTCCAAGACGGAAAGCGATAGCGATGGGGAATATCACGGTTAGAGTTCAAATGACACAAATGATGTACTTAAGGAAATCTGCTCTTATCCAGGAAACGCCGTGATACAGAAATAATCGTTGTTTCTGACATTTTATCAACAGAGCCCGGTATGCGAGTCGGAGAAGAATACCAAGCCGTCATTCCCGATCTTGTCTCAGAGAGTAAGTTGCAAATTAAACCAATAGGCTCTGTTATGATTAATTATCTTAGTCCTTTCCTGAAAATAGGCATGGGTAATTATTTCACCTTGCAGTTTGTGGCGAATTTCTTACGTTAAGGGTCGAGTAATTGGCCTGCGTACGACAAGCTCGAGTATTTCAATTACCGGCCGGCTAGCGACGCGCGCATAAATATCCTACATTAACTTTCCTTTCAAGCCTCGCCATGGAAAATCATTCTATATAGCAGCTGCTTTTAAAAAATTGCAGTTTAAATCAAGGGAGGTTTCGCGCCTTTGCGGTTCTTAAAGTTGTAAATTTCGAGCTTCTTGGCTTTTGCGTTGTGTAACTTCTAAGCACTTTGTTTTTCCGATGTCAGTTTCGACATTTCGTACACTTCTAAACGCTCTTACATTTAGTAGTAGTTCCAAAGTAAGAATTTTTCGGTGAAAACGCTGAAGTCAAGTTGCAATTGTCGGTTGACAATAAGTGGATGGAAGGGATTAGAGTTGTGGGAAAATATTTTTGAACGACCTGATGGGGCCTCTTGGGGGCCGGGGGGGGGGGGGGGGGGGGGGTAAATGTCTCTGACCTGTCATTTCATTGTTGCAACCTGTGTTTTTTGTTGTCATTTCCTCTGTTTTTGTCGCTTCTTCAAGGCCATGTGCCTTGCTAGAATTGGAATTCTTCCCTAGCAGGACATCTCTGGTGATAATACTAATGATAATGATAATATTATCATTTACTTTATTATTCAATTTTATGATCAAAAATCCTTAGTGTAATATTATTATGTAATATTATTATCTATTATTATTAGGAGTATCTAGATAACTAGTCTTTGATCACTTAGTGTGTGAAACACAAGTACCAGTCCTGAAATTTCATATTAGTAACGTATGAAAGTAGTCCAAAAGGTGCGAAAACATCTGTCTGATGCATTGGAGGGAATTCAAAAGCGCGCCCTTAGGATAATTTTTCTGAATGCACATTATGATGAGGCATTGATACTAAGTGGCCGGCTGTGTTTAGAAGACCGTAGGGCTGCTGCTTGCGAATCATTTATGCGTAATTTAAAACCATCCAACCCTGTGTTTGGCCTTGCCATGAGCGGAAGGGTAACTACCATTCACTTGTACTCGTTACGAAGCTGCCGGAACTATAATAACAAAATTTGTAAGACAAAAAGATTGTCAGAATTTGAATCTGTGAAATATTTAGATTTTTTGTCATAAGTTAAATGTTAATTATGTGTAATTTGTGCACGATCCTGTTATCCAGCTCTTAGCTGCAAGGGGTTCTGAGTAAACAACTCTATTCTATTATTCATGGATCTTTTGTTTCTCTTTTATTCAGACAAAGAAGAGGCCAAACATGACCCAAACCTTCGGCACAATGCACTTCTTGTTTGGGCACCTGTAGAGGAAATCCCAAATTCAAAACGTGGGTGTAATTATTTAATATAGTCTTATAGCGTAAATGATCAAAAAGACAGCAGGGTGTTGATTTACTTTGAACAATCTGAGAGGGAGTGTTAAATAGATACATTCAGGAAACATTTAAAAGAGAAAGGCATTTCTTTTCTTTTTTGCGACCTCTCCAAAACTAATATACTATCAGTGAAAATATCCAGAGAGTTTGTAAATTAATAGCAAAATATGCAGTCCATCAATGTCTACATCTGGGCTGTGTAGAGATCCATGTCACTCTTTCAAATCTCAATTTCACTATCAGAATCCTCATTTTAGGATAATTGTGTTGTCATCCTGACTTTATCTTTACTTTGAACTTGACTTGAAACAAGATGCAATGCACATTCATCAAGCAAAAAACTAAATAAATTGAATGATTTTCTCCTTTTTGCTAATTCCTAGTATTTTGGTGTAACTCTCTTCGGGGTGTTTATTAGAGAGGGGCATTATTTTAATACAGACTTTGCCTTGTAGAGGGGGCATTAATTTTATTAGACAAGAGGCATTTTTTTGAGAAGGGGTGTCAATAAATTAGATCATTTACAGTGTACCCTTATATTGTCTACTCAGTGTGCAGAGGAAGTAGTGTCTGTTAGCCTGGGGCCAGTGGATTTTGCTGTCAGGCTAATGAGTTCTGTTCTTAACTTGCCTGAAGGGCAAGTGACATTTTTCTGGGAATATAAATCACAGAAGAGCTGCAATCATTCCTGCTCATTGTTGTTTTTTGTGCTGGTTGAAATGATTTTTGGGCTAGTACGTGCTAGCTACAGCTTGTCTGTGTGTCAAGCAGTAAAACTCCTTTTCCTTTTCACCTGGTTTCTTGGCATCTGCTTCTCTTCTTCACAAGGCACTTTACACCCCAGCTAGTGAAATGTCATGTAAGCCCCCAGTTCACAACCAAAATATACAAGCATGCTTGATAATATTACAGTGAGCAAATGTATGAGTGCACAAGTAAAACCACTTCCACCTGCATGGAAGGTGACCCTGACACATGGAGAGAAAAAAGGGTCTACAGGGCTGTGTCGGTCATTGGACATTGTCCGACTAAAATTTGCACATTGTCCAGGAAATCGTGCTTGTAAATTTGAACATGTTTTTTGAGATGTACCATTACACTGACTTAAAGTTTCACGTAGCTTTGTGTCTTTTTTTTTGTTGTTTCACCTTTTAGTGGATGACTATGTGCTGGTTGCTAAAGACAAACATGGGTACAACGTTGAACAGGTACATTCACAAGCAGTATTAAAATAAAGTGCACAATTTGAGGGTGGAACTAAGATTACCGTATTTATTTACCTATAAGCCAAACTATTTTTTCAGAAACTTTAAAGAATCTGAAAAATAATAGTTTCTTTAGCATGCCAGTGTTATTGGTGCAAACTGGTGGGTGCACTTTAAAACCAATTGCCACAATCATGGACAAAGTCTTTGGACACCTTTGTATTTTTGGGGTGTTTTTCAATTCACACCGGTCCAACCCCTCCCCTTACCCCACAAAGAATGTTGGAGGTGTGTGTCCAGAATTTTTTCAGAGTTTCAACTTTGCTTAGGGTGGGCGAGGGAGAATTGCAAGAAAATTTTGAAAAGGATGCTCTGTTTTAAGAGGGAACTGAGAAATGACAGAAAAAAATGAATATTGTAGTATTGTCTCAAGGAATTTTGTCTAGGATTGTAGGTGCACTTTTTTCAGGTCCCTGCTGAAGGAAGTGCAGTCTTAACAGACACCACCATAAGACAGACACTTCAGTAAAACAGACACTTAAAGTTGTTCCCTGACTTTCCTTACTCCTTTCACTTTACTCTTTATAAGACAGACAACACTATTAGATGCACACTGAGTGTGGGTCTCAAAGGTCTCCATCATAAATTGAGTTGACGTAGGTTTTGATCTGATGATGAATCTATTCGGAGTGTGAATTCTTTAGATTCAACATCTACTCTTGGATTTTAGTAATGAAATGCAAATTTAATTTTATAATTTTTCATAGTCCTCTATTAGGTTTGAAAAGGTTAAATACATGTAGATCTATAAATCTGTGCAGATGTCTAAGTGCTGTTGAACTGATCTGGGATGTTACTAAAATGTCACCAGATTTTTTTTCTGGGAGGGATTGTTGAAGAAGGAGCCAAGGATTGCCAGTGTTTCGTTAAGGGGTGTTAGAATTAACCAGTGAAATACATGTACATCTTGTACATGTATAGTAAAGGGGCATACGAACCAAAGGCCCAAATGGCTGGAGCTTATTTTGTTTTCCTTCTCATGAAACATGCTGAGGAGTATTGCTACTCCCCCCTGGACAGGAAGCTAGTCCATCGAAGGGTTACCCCCCTTCCCCGCCCCCCACAAACAGGGTGTTGCCAGTACCCATTTATACACATGGATGAAGAGAGACAAAGTGGAGTAAAGTTCCTTGTCTAAGGAAACAATGCGGCAGGTGAGGCTTGAACCCCAGACTGCCAGATCCAGATTTCGCAGTGTTATCTGCTCGGCCAGTACACGCTTCCACTTGCCTTGTTCATGTATTTTCTCACATATCTGCTGTGTATTAATGCAGTGAATAGTGATCATGGTGGTGTAATGTTACAGCATACATGCTGTACATGTATTATGCAATTTAAAGGCTCTTGCTATTTTAAGTTTAAGGTATAATAAATGTTTTGTCATTTTCAGGCATTAGGAATGTTGTTTTGGCACAAGCATAACCTTGAGAAATCACTAACTGATTTGGCTAACTTTACACCATTCCCAGGTAATCAATCAATCAATCAATTTATTGACATTTAATTGTTACAAGCAAGTACTCTTCCACTGTACACAAAGCATTCATTATTTACAATGCAATAGGTGACTGCTTGAGTTAACAGTAATGTTCATCTTTAACTACTTTTGTTTCAGATGAGTGGACTATGGAAGATAAAATCCTTTTTGAACAAGCTTACAGTTCTCACGGAAAAAGCTTCAAACGAATTCAGCAAATAGTAAGTACACCACTGACATTGTTGAGCACTTGAAAGGAAGTCTGTCACTAGTAATTGTATTATTTTGAGCCATTAATTGGTAATGTGCAAAATTACTTTGAAATTAAAGGAACTTCAAAGACATGGTTGGGTGAAATTAAGTTGGAAAATACCAGACATGGCCATAGTACAGAATAAAAAATGGCATGAGTGCATTGTTGAGCTATATAAGCATGTAGATTATTAAAGATACAAGAGAGTTGTCAATTAGGTTGTCAGTGCTTCTCACACTTTTTGAGTGTTGTCTTGGTAATTACCAACTATATGTACAGTTGTACTGAATATCTTTATAAAATGGTTATTATTGGTGATGTAGCTTGCATGCTTGAATGTCTCTGTAAAGCATGTGTGTGACACACATGCTTAACAGAAATATAATGTCCGTGAATCATTCTGACCAATAATAGCGCATGCATTTCTTGGCATTTTTTGTTGAACTAAGGGATTGTCATGCATTCTAAATTACAATATTAAAAAATTGACAAACTACACCTCCTCTAATATTATAGTAATAAAATTATTATAGAGGCATTCCAAAACTTGATTTGGACCGCCAGTCCGGTCGGATCAACTCGGAAACCTTTCGGATCTTTTTAAAATACAATTGGACTTGGATCAACTTGGATCATAAAAAAAACAACTCGGATTATAAAAAGAAAAATAAAATCAGTCGGTATCACTCAACTTTCACCCGCCATTTTGTTTTGTTGTTACGAACTCGTGGTTGCGTAAATTAAATTAATTTTTATTTTTATTAATTTTAATGATACGCTAGTGAGCAGCACATATACACTTCCAGTGAACATTTTCAAGTTGGAAGGAGAAGAAATCATGCCCGCCCGGCACAACGAAAATTTTCGTACCCTAGGCGGGAATTGAACTCACGACCTTCCGAATACTACATGTTTATCGGACGTTCCAACCACTGAACCGGAGGGTCGCGAGTTCGATTCTTGCCCAGCGCATGGAAATTTCCTCTGTCCCGGGCGAGCATGGTTTCTCCTCCTTCCAAGTTGAAAATGTTCACTGGAAATGTATGTGTGCTGCTCACTAGTGTATCATTAAAATTAAGTTTCAGAAGCCATATCTGTAAAGCAGAGCGTGTCGTGTAACGCAACCTAAAACATGATCCGAGAGGAACTGGCACTAGTAAAACAAAATGGCGCCTGAAAGCCACGGAGAAAAAAAGGATGATCTGGCCTTTTTTACCCTCCAAATGGGTTAAACTTTCAGTTTTGCTGATTTAATTTAATTTTTTTGATTGCTCCGAGTTGATCCGAGTCCAATTTTATTTTATTTTTACTTTTTTACTTGATCCGAGTTGGTCTGAGTCGATCCAAGTTGATCCGACCCGGACTGGCGGTCCGAGTTGATCCGGTCCGACTTTTGTACTGCCTATTATTATAGTGCATTTCAAAACTTGTTTTGTGTGAAACCTCTGTCTTTTTTTTCTTGTCAGTTACCAGATAAATCAATTGCCACTCTGGTCAAGTATTACTATTCATGGAAGAAAACAAGAAGTCGGACAAGTTTGATTGATAGACAAGCAAAGAAAATGGCGGTTCAAAAAGAACCAGTCAAGTGAGTTTTGTCTTCATGGAAGCCCCGACTTTGGAAAGTAATCCTAACAGTATACAAATTTATTGAGGGCCTCCCATTTTATTTTGGCAGAAAAATGTTTTCTTTCAATCGTCATCCTCAAAGGTGAAGATCAGATGAATGTCTTTTTTATAATTTAGTACTGTTTTGTGCGTACAGTATTTTTCTTACCACTTTGTTAATATCTTTTTCAACCAGTGATCCAGAAAGCGACAATAGCGACTCCAGTGATAGTGACTTTGAACCTGAAAAAGAGGTAATCTTCAATGCATCTTCAATGCTGTTCATTTTTACTTTTTACTGGACCAGTAACTGTTATTCTCACATGCTGAATGCCATTTGTGTCACAAAAAATGTCATGGAAATGCAACAGTGCTTTATTCACAAGAAAAAAAACTGAAAAGTCATCTTTCAGCCATCAGAAAAGTTTACCATGGACCAAAGAAATATAGAAAAACTTTCTTCGCCAAAAGGGGGAAGAGTTAGTACACAGCAAATTAATGTCATACACCAAAACATTCTTGGTTAAGTTTTATCCCAGACCATGCTTACTCAACTTTTTGGCCTTCATTTTCTGCTAAACAAGTACAAATTTAGTGAAAATCAGGAAAAAATAACCTCCAGAAAATTTGTTGGATTGAATGAATATTGTAGATCAGATGAAAGTAAATTTTAACATGTTTGGGAAAAAGGCATTAAATTAATTCTATGTGGGCTCATTATGTTGTGCGATCATTCAGATGTGCCTTATAATTTTATTTCTTTATGCTTTACAGCAAACAAGACAAACAAATGGCCAGACTAAACCGAAGTTAATAACCAAACCACCTACAATGCAAGTAAGTATACAAACAAAATGATCTTGAAAATTAATCTGCACTCCACTCTAATCACCTTTACTTGGTCTTCTTATTATGTTTCATTGTGATTTATGTTTATTTGGTTGCATGTATTATTTTTCTTCAACTGTTGTGTCATAATAAAGCCATTGTAATACTGTCATTTATTTTTTAGGGAACAACTGCAGCGACCATTTCAGGTCCTTGTGTGAACTGTCAATCCCAATCCTTGCAACTTCATGCGACTCAGAAGGGAAACTTGTGCAGTGCTTGTTATCAATTTTTAAGGTACACCTCTAAGGTGACCTGTATTGTCTAAGAAAGGTCAAGTAGTTGACTTACATGTATAGAAAGTATCATGTACATGTAACATCGTTTGAATCTCTGTAAGTTTGTTGCACAGACATGTTATATAGGTTTTTACAAGTACCTTACTTATCCACAAATAGGTTGCACCTGAGTAAAGAGTGTGCTGTGATTGGTTTATGTTTGTAGCCACTCATTTCCGCAGATGTCTTTTGGGACAGAAACACATGACAAAGCCCTAAGATCATCTGCATGGCAGGCTAGCCCCTTTGTGAGGTTCATTCAGAAAAAAAACTGCACAACTTGCAAAATATCAGGGCGTGTTATTTTCTGTTCAACCTTCAAATAAGATGTGTGAAAGTACATTTTGATTTGCCATAGTTATCAAGTCTGGTCTTATTTGCAGACGAACTGGAACTCTCCGACCAAGACATGAAGGAAAGGAAGCTAGGCCTGGCCACAGGGGAAATAAAGTTAAACGGAAGGCTCCAAAGGTTTGTATTACCTGCATAAGTATAAGTATAAAATAATGTTGAAAAAATATCCAAGTCTCCTTTCACTGTTTTAAGTGGTTATTTTGTTCCACTCAATGGACCGTTTCATGGTTTTTTCAATGCTTTTTTTTGCACCAGTTAGCCAAAATCCATGGACATCGCTGAAAAAAAAATCCTTAAGTCAGTAAAGTTGCCAAGTTTGAAAGTGATTTGTTGAAAACTACCAGAGATATAGCAGCATAATTAATTTTTACAGATGTTTTTTTGGTGGGGGGCAAGTTCATGCCTCCCACCATACAAACGTGTGTTAAATTAATTTCATGATTTTCTGGAGCAATAGCTTCACTTACAGTGGATGTATCACCTTTAAACTTACTAATTATTTAACCCTTTAAGCCCTGAGAGTGATCAGCATCAAATTTCTCTTTGTGATATCAATGCTTTGTAAAACAGAGTGGTCATAGGAATTACGGACGTGATCACATAACATGAATTTGCTTGATATTTTATCAACTTGTCCCCACTACTTCTGTAGGAAATGAATGGGGGCAACAAATGAGAATTCAAATTTTTATCTTGGGGTTTAAAGGGTTAAGGTGCTCTTTCCAGTAGTGTTGATGCAAATTCAGTTACTGGTCTTAATCAAAACTTGAAAAGAACCCTGGAAAAGGTCTATTTTTTGGTCTGTTCCTCGCGGCTTTATGTAGCCTAACTCATTAAATTTTGTTGGTTCTTCTAGGGAATGGTTTTGTCACAAGAGTACCTAACTGCCGTGTCTGGTACCCATGGTGATAGCCATGTGCGACCTCTAGAGATGGAAATAGTGAACCTTAAGAGACAGGTACAGATGAACAAACAGTCGATAGGCCAGCATAAGTCCCAGATTGAAAATGGAATTGAAGCTGTGAGGCCAGGAGATGTAAGTAAAATTACACCGTAACCGCACCATATCGTGATCCTTCGCACCAGGGGGATGATTAAAAATGCATTTTTGTTCAAGTTCCATTGTCACAAGGCATTGATCCTGCAAAACACCAAAATAACCAAACAAAAACAATGCAAAAAGTACAATTTATTTAGAAAATTACAAAACACAAATAAAAAAAATTGCATTTAGATTGCACATTAGTATAGAAACATTTACAATGCCACCAACAAGAAGAAAAGGAAAAAAATACAACGATGGTTGAAACGTAAATGTTACATGTAATCTTTCATAAAGAATAATAATTATTATAAACGTGCGTAAAAGTGAGATGCATATGATGTTTATGATAATGATGAGAATGATGATTTGTGATGATGATGAGATGCATTCACCCCCACGTTGATGTTAGCTATTCTGTTGCTTGTGCTGAGTGTTATTTTTCCTGTTCCTTTTTTTTTTAGCAAAATATCAAGAATAATGCCAGATGGTCGAATGAAGAGCTTTTGTTAGCCGTCCAATGTATGTATCGCACTCGCAGCCACCCCAAATATTCACAAAGTTAATATTAAAACAGAAGTGAAATTGGTGATGGTCACAAGACTGTGGGCAATATTTTGACCAAGTACTGGATCTCAATTTGACAGGTGGCAGCTCTGGCCTCTTGTCCCTTTTCAGGGATAAAATGCAATGTAGATGTCAGAATGGGATAGTTCATTGTTTACGTCCTGCAGAGACACAAAATAATTCATGGCATTTGTCTCGTAGGATTCAAAGATTGATCGATCGATCTGAACATGTGTATTTGTAGAAATATCCGGCCGTTTTGTGTAATTTCTGTGGCAGTTATGGCTTAACGATGCATATTTCTTTTAGTCTTTGTTGTGCTTTGAAATAGGACTGTATTTTGATTTCGTTAAACTGTAATACAGAGTTTGGGAGTCTGTCTTTGGATTAACTGACTGGTTACATAAAGGCCCAAGCATTTTCAATTTCGGACTCTCTTTTTTTAACTGGGACTCATTGGTTGTGGACTGGGACTCATGATTTTTCACAAGATGAGTCCCAGGACTCAACATAACTATTTGAAACAAATTCACTGTAAAGGGTTAATTATTTACATTTCAACAGCTGTCAGACGCTATGGAAAAGACTTCCAAGCCATGGCTGAGGTGTTAGGAAACAAGAGCGTGAGTCAGTGCCGCAATTTCTTTGTCAACTACAAGAGGCGTTTCAATCTACAACAAGTTCTTGAAGAGTACGAAGCTGAACAGGGTATCACCAGCAGTGACAGAAAAGACGATGATTTGCAGGTGCTACACATGTCAGGTTCCCCCGCTGGTAGCAGTGGAAACTCCTCCCCGAGTCAGGATAGAGCTTCTCCATCCTTCCCCTCCCAGGGTAAGTTTTTTGGCTCCAACAACCCCCTTCCCCCTGAGCTTGTCCATCCTTCCCTTCACAGGGTAAGTTCTTTTTCCTCCAACAACCTCCTTCTCCCTCCTGAGCATTCTTTCTGTAGGTTCAAAATAGATATCAATAAATTTATGAACTCCTCCCCCAGTCAGAATACAGCTTCTCTGTCCTTCCCCTCCCAGGGTAAGTTCTTTTTGGCTCCAACAACCCCCCCGAACCTTCTTGCTTAAGAAGTCATCCCACCTTTCAAAACATAGAGAAAAACTCCCCTTCCAGCCAGGTTAGAGCATTCTTTTCTTTCCGAAGAATTCATCCCACCCTCCAAAATATAGATATCAATGAATTTATAAAGATGTGAATGAAATAGGGCCATGAGTGACTCTTGATCTAATATACCGTTTTCCCTATCTCCCACAAGCAATACAGCAACAGTTTTTTGGGATGTTACTTGGCGCTTTTTTTTCCTGGGCACAAGTCTCAGCTATTACTAAAATGTTGACTGAACAAGAACCATTACAGACCACATACAGTCAACTGTCTTTAAAACGCAAACCTTTGGGACTGCCACAAAGTGTCCATCTTAGAGAGAGGTGTCCGTTTTTCCCAAGTGTCCATCAACAGAGAGTTGGCTGTATATTCTCATAGTTCTGAAAATGGGAGAGTGCATGAGCTTTTGGCAAGAGTCATATATGTTGTGGTTCAGTTTTGTCCTTGGTTTGAATTTTATTTTTCGTTGTTTCAAACTCATTATCATATATTACCATACCCAAAAACAAAAGGAAATAAAATTTAAACCAAGGACAAAATTGAACCACAACATATATTTCTGCAAATGAAAGCTTACACCTGTCAAAATGTAAGGATCAAAGTAAACCAGTCACTCCACAACTAACAACAATGTTTCTTTTCCTGTTAGGCATTCCAGGTCAACCACCGCCACTGTTGAAACCCTCAGGACCACAGGGTCAGCGGCATCCTCCCCCCTTACAACCTCAGGCTGGAGTCGCAAGGTCAAACCCGGGTGGACTTCAAGGTCCTCCTCCACTCATTAAACCCATGGTGCGACCTATTCAGCCCCAGGTAAGTGTTCTTGAAAGGTTGACCCTTTAAGCCCCAATATCCACATACAAATTCTCCAAACTGATCTCCATACATCTACTTTAAGAATTAGTTGAGAGAATTTGATAGAAGATCATGGAATTTTCTCTATGGTGATCATGTTATTAATTCTCATAACTTTATCTCTTGACAGTGTATGGATATTGTTAGGAGAAAATTGATGTTGAACACTATTGGGACTTAAAGGGTTAAAGCTGGCTTTGATGTCGCATCTCCTTCTATTATTTGTTCACTGAATTTACGCTTTCCTGCCTTGGACCTGGCAAGGCGATGTGTCTTTAAATGTAGTAACTTCCCAAAATTCAAAACACTCCAAAGAAAAGAAGAAAACTGTCAGGGCTGTCATTAAGGTTTCAAGTAGCTGGTCTCTCTGGGAGAGTGGCCGGTTGTTTATCCCATAAATCTTCCTTTATTTGTCCTGTTTGACTTAATTTCAAACCTAGAGGAGCCGGCCGATTTTAATGCAGTGGCCAGCTTCTAATGAAATTGCAGAACTACTCTTGGTGCAAAGTGCAAGAATACGCTAAATAGCAGGGTGCAACCTGGGTCCTACTGTGTGTGTGTCCTGCGGTACAGAAAGAGGGTTGTATGACAATTTATTGGTAAAGCCACCGTACAGTACTGTTCAAAACTAAGTAACCATTCAGGTCTCGTTTCCTGCACGAAGGGAATCGCGTCGTGCGCTACGAGAATCTCGTAGCGCGAGTGCGAGAATTAGTGAAGCAGCCATTTTTGGCATAAATTATTCACGGCTGGTCCTGTGCTAATCAAAACTAAGTGGAGCATTTTGGCTAGAATCCATAAAACGCCGCATGGCATGATGTCCATCTTTTCTGGGAGTGCTATCCTTTAGGGCATTTGGTATTTGCTACTGCTTTTCTCATAGTCTGTGAGCAAGCTCTCCACGGGTGTCTCTCTCGCGAGAGTTCACGCGAGAGCCGCTCGCGAAAGTAGACGGGAGTACGGGTGCAGGGAAAGAAATCCGTTGCGGCTTCACCGCTCTCTCGCGTGTTCTCTCGCGGCTCGCTTTACTCGCGATAATTGGACAGCTTGCTCGCGGGCTGCTTTTCTCGGTCATTGGTGTGCCGGTTGATTATGCCATTTTTCTTTCTTTTCCTTTAGCCTCTTCGCCCACAAGCTAATCCAATGATCCAACAATCTCCTCCACCACATATAGCATTTCAGCAGATGATGGAGCAAAAACCTCTCGGGGGACCCATTGGGAGATCTGAATCACCACACAGCTCCTCAGGTACTCCACCCTTGAGGCAGACGCGCTCTGGCATGTAACAATGGGACTTTGTCCTCTGCCAATCAAATCGAACAATTATTACAATGATGTTCTGCAGTCCAACAAATTATTACTTTTTGTAGTGAAAATTTCAATTCTGCTTAATGACCACTCAGTTTTAGTGATGACTAATTTCTGGCCCCAGCTGATGTCCGCTCGATATCTATTTCCTTATAGACTACGAACAGTCTCTCTCTTTCTTTAGATTTAGTGAGGGGAGTGCACGCGCGAGCGCGCGCGAACATCGAAGACGCGAGAAACGAGGGCTCTTGCCTCTCTTGTCTCGCACCTTCAGTCACACGTAAGTCATATTCGTGTCTTGCGCGTTTCACTAGACCGACTAAGAGAAGAGAGAGACTTGCTCGTAGTCCAACTTCCACAACGACACGTAACAATCACCTTTTGGAGTCCTCAGTTGTTATCTTCTGTACACATTGTCAAGTTGAATGCCCGGTGGGTACTGGCGGGTACTGTATTTACTCTAAAGAGCGCCGTCCCGTAAGTAAGCGCCACATCGTCCGATCAACAATGCATTGTTATTAATTTTTTAGGTTTTTTTTTTCACAAAGAAAATTCTGATTACTATTATTGTTATCGTTCTTATTTATTTGGATTAGGAAGGGATAAAGGCCTGAGAACCTAACGTTTATTACATCCCTCCCTTGCGTCTACTTTCGCTTTTTTTTTTTAAGAAAGCAAAGCTGAAGGAAGAAAGATTGCATTAAAAACTGCCCTCAATTTCATGCGACGTAGACAAACTGGAAAAGTTAATCTAGATTAATTTTCCAAAGCTCTCAGAAATCTCCGCTTTCAAATTGGTTTTTTAAAAAACACACCTGTCAAGAAAATGTTCTGGTTTTGTGATTTATTCTTACTTCAAAGACGATGCATTTACAGCAGTTGAAAGGGATGCGAGTTCTAAACGAGGTATATGAAAGGGGTACCATTTGTCAATAGTAGGTATACGAAAAAATGGTCAAATCTGTCAAAAATGGTATTTAAAAGGGTAATGGGCTGGACCTCCCGTATAAAACTTTTTTGAGCACCCCCAGGCTACGGCGCGCTCTCTTTTTGAGTAAGTACCGCAAGTGCTAACAGCTATCAGTCTGTCAAACGATAGTGTTTACTATTTTGAGGTCGTTAAAAGTGATAGCTAAGAGATAAATTACATTGCCGGATCCAGACCTACCCAACCCTGAGATAAGGGAGGGGGCGGTCTCCAAAACTTTTTTTCGCCTCTTCAGGCCTCATTTTGGTCTAAAAATAAGGGGTGGGGCGGGGGGACTCCCCGGGCCCCTCCCCTGTATCCGCCACTGAATTATAAGTATTTCTGAAGTCCAGCAGATTCATAGTCAGAATCAAAACTTCTCATTCCATACACGGTTTAAAAATGCATTTTTATTGCAATGTGAGGGCCACATTCTCATGGCCTTACAGTAGGCATATTAACGCAGATCCGCTGTACATAAACTTGGAATTTGAGCAAGTGGCATTCTCACTTTGGTGAAAACTGTGTTAGATTGTGGATACGGTGTCCATTAATTTATTTTCCTTTGCTTTTCTTGAAGTTGCATTGCAAATAATCATACTCATAAAACACGTTCGTAATTCAGTGGTCTAAAAAGAAATAGGTGATAGGTATTTGCGAGACTTGTCTTTCTAGTTAATTGAATATATTTAAAAGCTTCCATCAACCTGGTCTCCTGGGCCCAGTTGTTAGAAGGCCGATTCAGTGCATAACCCGGGCTTACATTTAACCCAGGTTTCTTTTTCTTGTGTTCAAAAGCATTTTCTCTGATATTTTTCTGTGCTATTTTTAGAGCTTCCAATTATCAACTTCTAGACAAAAAGAATTAAAACTGAAATGCTTTCTAAGCTTTCAAATCTGAATTCAAATCTCGCACTAACCCTGGGTTATCTTAACCTAAATCTTAACCCAGCTTTGAACAACTCAGCCCAGGGCTTTTTCCTTTGAAAATGGGAGGGGATGCCCTGGGGACGAGGTTGGGCTTCCCTATTTCGTACCTCGTTACAAAGAGCGAGGATCGAACTGTACAGATTTTCCGTCCCCCTCCCTGTAGATCTTTTTTGCAGGGGTGGGGTGGGGAGAGCAGTGCACACCTGGCTTTTGGGGAGTTCTCCCCTCGAGTATACGGTAGTCTTTATTTTTATTCTTTGATCTTGTAATTATTTCAACGAGGAAAAATCTCTTGCTACTTTTATCTCAAGGCTTTGAGAAACCCGTTGTCTATAGTCAACCCTCTTTAATATGGACACCAAAGGGACAGAACCAAGTGTCCGCTTTACAGAGGTGTCCGTATTATAGAGTTAAGGAATGTATGGTTTTTGGCATTTCTGGGACCAAACGAACTGTCCGTAATAGAGAGGTGTCCGTATTATAGAGGTTTCCGTAAGGAGAGGTTAGACTGGGTATCTTTTCATTTATTGCCGTCTTTGAGCGTTATAATACTTCGCCTTGTCATTTTCACCCTCTGATTCACCCACTTTGTGCTCTGTTGTCGTTGTTCTACTGGTGTTTTCAATAGTTTTGTGCAGCAAAAGCTGTTTTTCTGTACCTAAAATATTAACAGTTCAACTGTGTATGTTGCTCTTTTCTTGTTGCAACAGTAGACAAATCTTCTGACGCGGTAAAACCCTAGACTGAAAGATTTACAAGGAAAAAGAGATGGAGAAAAAATATTCACTTCTAAATCTCGCTGTGATTAATAATAGTAATCTAATTTTCCTTAATCTCGGGGCCAACTGCAGGAATTTAAATACAGGCCTTTTGTCACTTCAACATGTTTTGTGTAATAAAACAGCATACTCTTATTTCTGTTTATTCCGTTGGTCTGTTCAATTTTATTGTATTCTACAACATAGCAAGGGTAATACTTCCATTGACAAATACAAAGCAGCAAAGCGATCCTAACAACGAAGACAGGAAGATCGAAACAAAACAGAGTAAATACCGGTAGTTAATTTCTTTTTGTGCCCGATATTTTTGTTTGAAAGGGACTACGCAAGAAATTTAAACATATCTTATTTTGGTCTTCAGTCAGGAGGTCCGGCTACTGAACTCACAGGACTCTGTGAACTTTGTTAGGTTCTCAGAAAATACGCGCCTACCGTTCACCTAACAAAATATTTTGCTCTAACGTTGGGTTAGGGGAGGGGAGGCAAAGAGGGGTAGTTTCCCAGAAAACATGCTATTTCTCTGGGAGGTGCTGGGCAGTGAATTCGCGCTGCCTCAAACTTTATCGCGGTTATTCCATCTCGTTTTATTCGTGAAATGTTGGTGAATTGTTTTGGAGTTGAATTCTAAAGGACTGTATCAAAGTTCAGGAAAAGAAAAGGAAAGTTGTCTTTTTGTGTTCTGGTCCTCGACAAAACTTGAAATTAGGCACTTTCGTGCAACTATAATGGACGTGTAAAGTTGTTGTTTTGCCAATAAAACCTATTTCTTTTTTGCCGTTCTTGTTGCCGTCGCCGTCGCCATTGCTTTAACAAGCTGGTATTATACGAGAGGTGCGCACTGTGGTTTAACGGACTCCTACTAGCAATCATTCAAATACACAAAAGCGTTCTTTCTAAACTTAGTGCTATGTAGCACAGTTTTGAAACAGTTTTTCCACGTTTTTCAGTCACACGAAAATCTGTCACCTATTTTGGAGATGATCGGTCACTCAAGGCGAACACGTGACCTTGTAACTGTCAACGAATGACGTCACGTCAGCGGGAGTTGGAGTACGCCTTCTCATTCTCGCAGTAACTTGAATGGTTTCCATTTTGTTGAGAATTCCGGTCACATCTGAAGGTGTGTAGAGCCTCACTGTTACAAAAGCTTTGGAACTACTCATTGCAAAAACAACAGGGTTATACGTCGCTGAGATGGCCGTGGTTGAAGCACCGGTGGGCGTCTTTGTAATCAGTGAGGAGTTCACAGATATATCGAACGCGCCTTTTTCTCCGTCGCGGCAATCCACGCAGTTGTAGTCGATAACAAAATAAAGACGAAGCGTCCTTCCGCATGTCAACAGACTGTACCCCTTTCTGCCCTGCTGGCGAAGCCTAAGGTTCTTGGCGGTGACCAATCTGGGCGATATTCTCTGGAATGATTGTCCCATGGCTGTTCTCCCAGAAAGCTTGAGCTTAAAGGGTTCCAAAGGTGGGTTGAAGGTGCCCTCCAGACTGGGTGTGGCCAGTTCGACACTGTCAGGCAGCTCACGTCCCCATTTGTCAATGAGAGTCACTCTCAAGGAACCGAGATTGAGGCGGTTTCTCGAAGGGATTAGAAGCTTTACCTTTGCGTCACTACCTGGAAACAAAAGCAAACGAAAAACAAATTTGTCTCTGTTTAGAGCAAGTTCTACGGTAGCCTTACAGTATTTATGGTAAAATAAATATCACTAGCATTTCTAAACCTACTGTATACAAAATATTGCTTGTATCTAAAAATCTACGCGTCTCCTTCCGCCTGCGGCACTATAGCGCGACGTCTCGCGAAACCCCCAGATGAAGGGCTTGCTCGCAAGCTAATTCCTATTATGTCTTTGTTTTTGTTTGTTTGTTTCCTTCTTTCGGGATAATTCAGGTATATATCTTTCAGATTAGCCTCAATCAAACGCAACGCAACAGTGATCTTACCAAGTAAAGGGTATTGCGCTACATAGTCGTGCCATTCTCCTCCCAGTTCCTGTCCATCAAAGAATAGGTAATCAAAGTCCAAGTTAAAGGCGCTGGTCGATTGAACCTTGACAGTGTGTGTTCCTGTGTTAGCTGGGAAGACGAGCGACCAAATGCCGTGCGTTGGTCTCTTGATAATCCAAACCCCTCCCTGAGCGAGATTTTCTGTCCGTGGCTGGGGCAAGCGAGCGGGATTTCGGAGTTCCACACGATGGGGATCATTTGAGGCGATATAAGTAACAAGAAGCGTTTCGATGGTATCGTCTACCGGTATTGTGTAAGTTTTGTCCCTTGCCGAACGCAAAGTACGACCTCGGCTTGTAGTCGAGCGTCCTTCAAGGATCGTCGTCGTACCATCAAGAGCCAATGCCATCGCTTCGCTCATCTTCATTATCTCGCCCGAGGAATTAAACTGCATTGCGAAACCTTTTGTCGCGTCCACAAACTCTACGAACGCTTCATGTCGTTGGAAAGTCCCACATGAACCCGACTCGGTACTGTAGAAAAAATTCACGGGAATCCGGTTGTTCATGACTACACCAAGGGCGTTGTCAAGCGTGTATTTGGGTCCCTCTCCAGGTTTCACTCCTGCGTCGGTTAACACAAACATAGGCGAAGTAATCGCGGGTTTTCCGATTTCAATAGCATCTATTATTCCGTTGAATGCCAGTTCAGGGCAATCGTTGCCGCCGAAAGCCGTCAGCCGGTCGAGAGCTGATACAAATGAAGACTCGTCTGAGAAACTCATGGTGTTTCCCCAAACTGTGAAAATAAGAAAAATTTTTTTGTTAACATTTTTTATTCTTTTTGTCACAAGAGCCATAATATTATGGTTCTTGTATGTGAGTTGAAGCAAAGGCGTTTTTGACTGACTCACGCCAACCGGATGTGAGGCGTTTTCCTCTTTAATATACCTTGACGCTGCCAAATTCATAATGCTTAGTGTCTTCGACTTGCCCAAAAATTTAGGCGAAACCACTGCCGAATTTTGCAAAAAGTCCACTCCGATTTGACGTGCGTCGCTCAAAAAGGTCTTTGCTTAAACTCCCTATTGATTGATTGATTGATTAGATATAGGCCCTGTCCCGAGTCCACACATATCTGGGTATTTTTTTTCTCCGTTTTTTTAAAACTACGATAACATATTCGAATCGTTATGACCCAACAACACTGGTTCCTCTTGTTGGAGCCAGCATTGTTAAAATAGCCTACGTAGCAGGCGCTTGGAAGTAGTGGGCGAAAGAGAGAACGGGCGCGCGCGAGGGAGACACGCGAGAGGTTATTGTTAAAATAATTAGTAAAAAGTTCTTGCTCATTGTTATGATGAAGGCTGCGATCTTTTATATCTCCATAAACGCGCGCGTTCTGACCAATCATAATGCGTGCAGTTCTTTCGCGTAGCGTAGGGGGATTACATTTATCATATGACCCATACGGCGCGCAATTTCGTTGGAAAACCATGTGGAAAAAAAGTCCCATATGGGGGCCGTAAGCGTCAAGTTATAGGCCAGATAGACGCGTACGGCCCTGCTAAAAAAATGCGAAAGAAACGAGGAAATGCTGCCGTGAACGCGTTTTCGCTCCGTCATGAAAACTCAAAAACACAACGGTCATATGGTAAAATGCATATCGACTGAGTTAATATCCATTTTATGCGCTCGGTCCGTCCGTTCTGACCTCGAGCCAAATATTTTTCCGTCCATCCCTCTCACTAAGTCAATAAGTACATATTATGGAACTCCTCCCGTCCAATCGCAGAGTGCGCATTGCCTTAGCCATTCCACCGACGCTCTTAACCTTTTAAGCCCCAATATCCACATGCAAATTCTCCAAACTGATATACATTTCCTTTAAGAATTAATTGCGAGAATTTGATAAAATATCCTGGCATTTTCTCGTTGATGATCATTTTATTAATTCTCATAACTTTATCTCTTGACAATGTATGGATTTTGTTAGAAGAAAATTGTTATTGGTCACTATTGGGACTTACGTGGGTCTCCGTATGGTGACAGAATATACTGAACAGGGGCTTTCCTTGGATGAGCTGCAATGGCCTTAACAATCCTTTTAGCCGCTTCGATCTCATCTCCCATACTACCAGTGATGTCAATCACAAAGATCAGCGACACATTGCCATCGCGCCCCAGTAGGGTGTCGAGGTCATCGCCCAGAATTTTGCGAAGCTGTTTGAACACGTTTTCGTGTTCGGATGGTGTCTTTTTGCAGTGCTTTGGTAAACGTCCGCAAGGGGCTTGACTCTTAGGACAGTGGCACTCCGGACGGAACTGTAAAAAGCATTAAAGGAAAAAAAAAGGTCATTTATCTTCGTCTTTATTTATAGATCAGCATCAAGTAACACCATGTCCAGAAGGCAAAGCGGTTTTCATTTTCGATCATTTACCCTAACACGGCCAAAAGGTGATCCTCAACTCGCGACAGCAAACGGGAAGGAAAAAATGTATCGCCCATTAATTTCAAAGAGGGACGCTTGAGGACGAGGCAGGGACTATTATCAGTTAAGTTACTATGGTTACAGTGACTTTCATCGGATATAATTGTTTGTGACGTAACTGAGAACAACTCCATTTTTCAGCTCAAAGTTTAAAACACTTCAAGGCTATCCCCTAGTTGCCCATTCGACTGACTTAGGAAAGCCTAAATGTTAGCAAACTCAATAGTTTTGTTTATTGGAACTCTCTACAATACTTACTAGATGTCCAACTAAGTTTAGTGCCTTTGGGATTTCACTGTCCTTGATAGCATTTCGAATAGACTGCTTCAATTTCCTTCTTCCTCTACTAGATAAACGCCTGGATTCTCGCTTGGCTTCATTCATTCCTGATAAGGAAAAGAAATTAAGCTTTTCTCTGATCATACAAGCGTGGTAAAAACTTTGTGTTTAAACTATTTCCTATGAACAAATTTGTCAAGTTTCATTTGCCAGTTGTATTGCGGCTTATAACCACAACAATAACGCAAAAAATAGGCACGTTTAACGACCAAAACAACGTTTCACATCCAGCACAGTTTCTCTCCTTTTCTTAGTCAATACATTGATTTCGTTTTTGTCTGCAGAACTACTGCGTAAATTTCCCTAATGCTACGTTTTCATCGGGGCCGGGGGGGGGGGATACTCCCTATAACGGCCTAATACGGGCAGGCTGCGCCCGAAAGGGCAGTCGCCCCGTTTGACAAATTGAACTGGTCGGAGTGTACCCGATGAATTTATAAACGACGAAGAATTGATTTTGTTAATTATTCTCGTTGCCGTCTTCATTGTATGAGCTCCCAATTTTTGCCTTAGATTATAAGCACTGTGTTAATTTTTTAAAGGTTTGATGTGCATCAAATAAACGCGCAATAAACGCACCATCTTACCTTTAATAATCTGCATGGATGCTTCCAGGTACTTGTTATTCCTCGGCGGGGAAATAACTGCCGCTGAACTACCACCGCTTCGACCAAGATTTCTCCCTCGCCTTTCAGCCGTCAAATATTCTGCCGTCGTTTGGTCCACGATGTCGAAGAAATCTACATCTGAGCTTTTCGATGACCCAAAGAATAGTATCGCAGCTAAGGTAAGTTTCATGAAGCCCAGTAGCCATGGCAGCGTCGCCTTCCTCATGACTAGAAGAAACTTGTAGATACCCTGGTAGCGCAACCCTGATCGCACACACTTTTACAATGACTGAGAACTGAGTGTCTTAGTCTAAGTCCTCTGTGCTACGGTGTAACACGTCTCAACATATTTAGCGGCCTTTTATTGGTTTTGCTGAATGTAACCCACACCCCATATTAAGCTAAAAATAAATGTTTACTGTATTTCCTCTCCTTCAAAGCGGAACTTCGGTCGTCTAATTGAGCTGATGGACTCGTTTCCGTTGGTTTGGTTGGTTGACAGACTTTTGGAAGTATCAGTGAAGCTGGACTCAGTGATTAGGATTGTCTGCGTGATCTAGGCGGGATGTGAACACACACGTGTGATCGGGATACCGGTAGTCTTCGAGATGCTTAGGGTATGATCCCTTTTGGTGAATTAGGGTAGCTAAAATCAGAGTAGTAGAAAGAATCGATTCGAACTACCCGTCTTCGCTTATTTAAAGCCTGTTCACTCCAAGAAGTGGCCGATAAAAAATTCGCCAACAATTTATATTTTCTTTTATAAATATTCTAAAAAAACAGCTACCTTTTCGGTAGACGTTTTCCGTTTTACTATTAATTATTGCTTAGCTCCTCGCCTGAAGGGACGTTTCCCCCCTGGCGAAATTTCCCTAGAGGCAAACGGCTGTTTTCGCAGGCTGCCGAAAAGGTTTCATTTAATTTTAATTGTAACACCATATCCTTTCGTAGCGGTAGCGGCACACGCAATTCTAAATTAAGACAAGTCAGTTTCTCTCGGGCAAACAACCAACTAAACAGGGACACATACCCTGAGCCGAAAAGTACATGACGGATAGGCAAAAGTGGTAAAGACAAGATTTAAGTAGGCCTTCGTCTAGGGTGGAAAAACACTGCCGTAATTCCATACCCTCTTCCCTTTTCCTCTTCCTTCCAGCGAACGGAAAAAACTTGCATGTTGTTGAACATGAGATTTCCTTTCCAAGAAAGACAGTTTTCTTTTTGCAAATCGATCCACTTTTTTTCTAGCCTGTGAACAGGCCTTTGGTCGAGCGGGGAATTGCTATTTTTTTCCCCAGACAGAGAGCCTGTTCACAGGCTACTTTTTTTCCGGATTTCGTGCAATTTCCATAACACAACCCAAGGGACAAATCCCCCTTAAACTTAACTTTGCTAGTCCGGGGAAGGTTTCAGTACGTGCTCTTTTCTGAGTACCCTGGGTGCCAAATAGCCTATGACTTTGCTTGCGCGATTTCCGGCATCGCCGCACTTGGATTTGGCCGTCAGCCGATTTTTGTCGGCCTGCGGCGGACAAAAAAGGACATGTTGACATGTTATTTTCTATTGATATTATTTTTCATTGTTATTTTCGTCAGCGGAATTAAAAGCGACTGACCTCTAGACTTTCTGTGATTCACTAATTGCGTTATCCCTTGAAAGCAAAACTTGTAGCAAAAAGACAAGGTCTCATTGTCGTGTTTAGCCTGCGAAAACATCCGTTTCTCCTCGTTATACGTCCCCAGCGGCGAAGAGCGAGGAGAAACGGATGTTTTCGCAGGCTATGTCGTGTTGGGAACTATATACACGTCTTAACCGGGAATTGTGCTATCCGACTTCTTAAAACGGATTGAATGTTGAATTCAGTGATTGAATTCAATGTTGAAGTTGTATAAAGTTTAATATGTTGCCCGATTTGAATATAAGGTCCTGGAGGGACATTTTTACTGGCGAGTTTCTGTATTCCAAGCTGGAACAAGCTCCAGCAACTTGAGATGTTTTTTCCTGTCAGCAAACCGGAAAAAACCGGGGGGACTCACATAAAAGTGACGGTGATGCTCTTCGTCTCCCTTTTGGGTTTAAACTGCAGATTTTGGTCTCACTTAGGGTGTTTGGGATGGAAAGTACTGTATTTGCCCATTCAGGTATCGCTGAGTACTGGGCATAAAAAAGAATGCCCTGACACTGACCACCCGGGGGGGGGGTACTCCTATGAATTCTTGCTGGGGGTGTGCCGCCCGGTTCTCCACATCCTTACCCTATTTCAGATCAAAACATGTCACACCCGTTTTCAGACCTGGCCTCTAAAATCAATACCCGTTTTCAGACTTGGCATAGGCAGAAATTATGTCGTCATTTATAATAAGATTAAAACGCTAACAAAAAGATTTCTTACAATCCATTTCGAATTCGCTTATTACTCTTTCTTTCATTTTCATTTAGAATTGAAACGACAAATACGTTCATGCACTCCCGCATTCCCTTCAAAACCGTACCCGAATTCAGACCAAAATAAGCAAAGTCTATACTCGTTTTCAGAACCAAAACGGACCAAAACGGAGCAAAAACCATACCGTTTGGGGCGACACATGCCTATGAGGCAAATACCGGGAGTACCCCTCCCCGGGCTAACCATACAGAAATATCCCTTAGTTTAAGCTTGAGTGACACGCACATCGGTCTCCCTTAGGGGTATAATTTCAATTTTCCGACGAGCATCCCCGTCACTTTTATATGTGAGTTGCCCCCGGGAAAAAACAGCATGTATTCGGCATCTTTCGTGCTGTGGTTTTTCAGTTACGGTAGTTAAAAGCCTCAGTAGTCAAAGGTGTTTCTGTTAAACATATTTTAAAATAGGAGCAAGAGCACAGCGACCAACAGCTCAGTGGTGACGGATATCTCAGTTTTACACCTGAATTGGTCAATAAAATAATAAAAGACTCGGGAGACTCACTTGATAAACGAGAGCGCGGTCAAAACCGAAAATTCGTTGATATATGATATAAAACGGAAACGCTCATCTACATCAACCACCATCAATAAAATGAACTAAATTTTGGCGGTTTTAAATTTCGTTTCGATCTTTCTGTCTATTCATCATCAGTTTTAAATTTTGAAAATCGATTTTTCAGCCTGTTCGTCTTTTAAAACCGAAATACCCAATAAAACCGAAATGCGGTGCTGTTTTGAGTACGTTTATAACCTTGGGTAGCCTGTGAAGAAAATGTATTTTTAAGCACTGGGGCCTGGGAACTAGAGCCTCGTTCGCTCGACACGTCTGCATTCAAAACAGAGTTTTTGTGTTGCGGTACGAAAATGTTGTCTCTTGTCGACTCCAAAATATTTCCTCTGCTTTCTTTATTCATATGCGCTAGATGTTTTAATCCTTTTGACGAAGGTCAGTATGACATAAACTGGGCAGGACCTATAACGTTACGCGAAGACCAAGTTGCTCCGGTGAGTGTGAAAATGTGCTCAACTACACTAAAGACAGTCAATGATTCATACAGAGTGTCATTCCTTGGTAGTTTGTTAATTTTATCTTTTTTAAACGTTCTCAATGGGTGGTAGTAAAGTGAAACGTAACATAGCTAACGACCTCTGTTAACTACAAGCTTGTGGATTAAGTCGCTAGAGCATAAACTTCGGTGCAAGATTAGCAAAGATTCCTCTTTGTAGCTTTGTTAATTTTGTGCAGTGCTTTGACTTCTTAAACTGTACCACAGTTTATAATGATGTACAAAGTCAGTCTGTGAGCTTTTTATATTCTGGTTGTTAATAGTACAACTGGACATCACTTTTAGGGAAATAATTAAATATTAATCAATAATAAATTTATCATGTCCTCTGGCAGCAGCCCAATTCAGGTCTACATGTTGTACAGTTGTACACCTAACAACCTACCAAATGAACCAGATTGCCTGTACCCATTATAGAGTTGGGGAATCTGGATCTCGGGAAATTCTTGCTTGTGGAATGCGGAATCCATAACGTTTTTGCTTACAGAATCCAGAATCCTAGGTTGTGGAATCCAGAATACAACTCAAGGAACAGCGATCCCACTAACGATTGGAATCTGGAATCTAAGTTCCACTGACAAAGAAGCCGGAATCCAGTACTGGAATCTGGAATCTGTCTTGGATTGCTTTACATGGGGCAAAAACCATCATGCTATAAAGCCAGACAATATGCAGCTGTATAACAGTGTACTGTAGTTGGTCCACTCTGTGGTGAATGGGGCTTTGCTCTAGCAGTACCCAGTGGCCCCCAATACAGGGTGCAAAGAAAGTCAGTTTTACAGCCTGCCATTTGGGCATAAGCTGTAGCTAGCCTGTACTAGCCCACAAGTCATTTCAGCTAGCCCCGAAATCCTTTTTGATTAGCAGGATTGATTACAATCAGTCTGTAATTTGAATTTCCCCAAAAAACAGCACTTGCCTATCGGGCAAGTTAAGAACAAAAATCACTAGCCCAGTAGCAAAATCCACTAGCCCTGGGCTATCGGACACAACTTTCATTGCACGCTGCTATTAACTCTATTTTTGCTTTTGTGTGACCAGGAGATCTTAGCTTTGGTAAGCCCATATACTGGGTACCCAGGATTTCACAGGTTCAGAGCAGTGAACCCACTACAATTTATTATTATTCTTAAAGCACATCCTTGTGAACTTCCTAAACAAGCACAGGGCTTTTATTAAGTGGCGGGGACTAGGGATTTCCCCTGGCTACTAAGAATATGGCCCCCGGCTACTTTCAGAGGAAAGCAGAAGAAAAATAGAACCAAAAGAAATCCCTAGTTGTTTGATTCCCCGCCTACTTGCTGTATTTACCCAGCAACTTGAAATCTTAGTGACAGCCCTGCAAGCAAAACCTGGAAGAGATTATAATAGGACCTATTATGATCTCTTGGCAAGATTTAATTGAACCAGCGTGCAAAGAAAGTGGTGTTCGATAGCCCGGGGCTAGTGGATTTTGCTATCGGGCTAGTGAATTCTGTTTTTAACTTGCCCGACGGGCAAGTGATGTTTTTTGAGGAATTCGGATAACAGAAGAACTGTGAGATCAATTATGCTCTTCAAAGAGCTTTTGGGGCTAGTTGAAATGACATCTGGGCTGGTAAATGTTAGCTTCAGCTTGCCCGAATGGCAAGCTGTAAAAATGATTTTCTTTCCACCCTGATTTAACATATGAATTTTATAAAATGTTGGTGCATTTTCACCGTTTGGTTACTCTAACTTTCAGTTTGATTACTACGTTGTTCTAATTTAATCCTAACAACAGCCCTAACGGGTCCTCTAGCCAACCCAAAATGAATGCCAAGCTGTCCAAGTCAAATGCACATGTATTTTGTGAGGGTCAGGGGGTGATGGTTAGTTTTTCTGATACAAACTATAAGTTGTAATCTTTTTCCACTCTAGAATGAAGATCTGTCAAGCAGTAGAGAGTCTATAGTAATGATTACAAAAGATAATGAAAAATACAAGTGCATATTACCACAGATTGAGACACCCAAGGAGGTAAGATGCAAAAAATGGGCCATTTGCACTATGATGCCATTTTACTATGACCAGAAACCTTGAGTGTTTTGCTTTCTTGAGAAAACTAGGACTTTTGTTATTTAATCCTTCCTGGGATTACCAGATTTAAGTATAACAGTAAAAGTGAAGAGGATTTTGGTCGTGGTCGTAAAATGACACTATTATGCAAATGGCCTACTAAGTACCTGCTTGAAACAGTTTTGTGACTGACTCGTTCCTAGTTGTCTGCTATCCTGGGCTTTTATCCTTCCCATCTGACCCAATATGCTGTTTAGCAGAGGCTCAACAGTGATGATTGGGAACTAGTCAGATTCCAAGCTGTGTACGTGCATAATTTGCACTCGTCATTTTATTGCCATGTGCACACAGACCGTCTTGAAAAACACCTGAATTTTAGCTTTCCTTGACCACTTGCGTAACCAATTGTGCTTAAAAGTTATTTGCCCAGATAGAAAATCTACTTGTCCTGGATGGTGGGTCTTTTTTGTGCCCTGGCATACCCTACAAGAAATGATTAATAAAAATTATTACTGCAGAAAAGTTTTCCAACTATAGACGGCTTGGTGATGCACATCTTTGGCTGATGTCTGGTATACTTACAAAAATTGATGTAGATGGAAAGGTTTCTATCCCAATTTTAAAAATTTGATGAAATTTATTGCTCAAAAAAGCCAGTTACTTAAGTGGGGTTTTCACATTTATGGAGTTAAGGGATTGACTTGCACATGCCCGGAATGGAAGCTGCTGGAAATTACTAATTCTCAACAGTTATAGTGAAGGTAAAGAATCCTTATTTTATGCCAGTACTAGCCTGAAATAGTTATCTGACTAACAAATTTGATGCTAATGGTGCCCTCATTTTACCCCCCCCCTTCTCTCCATCAGTGCTCCAATTTAAAGATACTTAAAGCTACATGTACACTGTACAGGGAAAGGAGAGAAGTCAAAAGAAGGATTTGAGGTCACACCTGAGAATCGAACTTGGGACCTCTTGCACAGAAGGCCACGCACAAATTGTGGTAATCTTTCCTGAACTGTGCTTATCCTTCCCAGGGTTGTCAAAAGTAGCCGGCTGCCGGTGAAAATCGCTGCCTACTTGGTTAGTATAGGCCGGCTACTCTGCTTGGCATTTCTTTACAGATGGCGTTTCTTAAATAAAATATCCCTGAACTGGCCGCTTACTTTGACAACTCAGCCGTCTACTTCAAAACTTTTTGACAACCCTGTCTTCTTCATAATCTCATGTTGACCCTTTTTCTATTTTACAGCATAGTTATGCTCATACAGGCCCTCAACCTGATGTTCTTTTAGAATCTCTAGTGATAAAAGGAGAGTGCTCCTACAGGGTAAGTCTTAACCCAAGTTTATATCTGTTTATTATTACACTGTACATAATTATACTCTTCCAAAGTAGATTTTGTAGCAAGCTAAAGTAGTTTTCGTGGCTTAAGACCATTCTAGTACTTTAAGTAAAAATTCAGTTTATTATCAAGACAAAGTAGGAGATGATTGACAAAAGAATACCTGTTGGAAATTTGATAGCACCTGCTATTTACATGTAGTTAGGTGATGATAAAAGATTAACTCCACTTTAGCAGAATTGTCAAAATACCCCGGCATCCTGCACTATTTCTGGCTACTTTGAGGTTTTCACAGGCTGTAAATTGTTGGACAAAAGCAAAAAAATGGATGATTTAAAAAAGTTTCAAAATAGAAAATAGAAAAAGAAAAATTTGTTTTAATCAGGCCCTGTGTGTCATTTTTCATGATTTTTAACGTGTTTTCAGATCCGCTCCCGCTTAGTTCTTTCCGTAGTGGGAATATGATACCACAAAGCAAATAAAAATAACGTAGATGCAACTGACAGGGTTTGTTTACACTGAAACACATTTCCCTAGTGATATGAGTTCCACTACCCAGGAAAAACGTATCCCTAGTGATATGTGTTCCCCTACCCCGGAAAAACATATCCCTAGTGATATGTGTTCCCCTACCCTGGAAAAACATATCCCTAGTGATTTGAGTTCCCCTAGCCAGGAAACACATATCCCTAGTGATATGTGTTCCCCTACCCAGGAAACACATATCTCTAGTGATATGCGTTCCCCTACCCAGGAAACACATATCGCTAATGTGTTAAATGTAGTTTGCTGTAATTATGATTTGTTCAGATATGTAGTAAAAGTTTTTTTTCTAGTTCAATGCCAATGAGAGAGAGGGGCATGCTACATGTGCAGGCATAGGATTTGTTATAATATATCTACCAAGGAAAGTTGTCTGAAACTTCCTGTAAGAAAAGCATTTTTAATTTTGCTTCAATGTTTGAATTGCACACGTGCCGATAACACAATGCAACTGAAGAAATGATCTGTTATAGTTATAAAAAATCCTACTGTGAAATAGTAAACATTGTAATTGTAAACAAAAATATATGGACCTATCATGTAGTAGGACATGGCATCTTAGAGAATAATGAAATGGAAAAAAAATCTGACTGTTGATTTTCATTAAAAAACAGATACTTCTCTTGTTAGCATTGCTCTCCGGCTCATGATAGCCAATTTCAACTAGTGCGAAAACCTCAAATCTGCTTTGCTCCTGGGGCCCCATGGACCTCAGATGAGGCACTGCCCTTGTACCCGGCTGGGGACCTGGGTGGCCCCCAGACCCCTTGCCTGGTGCCGGCTACTTTCTCGTATTCTCCTGCTCCTTGAAATCTTTTTGACAACCCTGTTTTGGTTTTATATCACAATATGATCAGTCCATACTGAGTGGTGTATTTTTTGAGTAGGTACAAATTATTATCTGAGTCTATTGACCTTAGGATGTTCATTGGTTAATCCCAGTCCCAACCAGACGAGCCCGCAATGATAATTATTAATAACTGTGGGCTACTCTTGTTGCCCGCAATCCCAGTCTCCAGGTTGCTATTACCAAGGGACTTTCACTAAGAATTAATGGCAAGCGCAGAATGTAATCTGATCTTGCCATTTGGACCTTCTATTACCGTCTTATAATGAGTTCACGTGTTTTGACCACCTATAGTGTTTCTTGTAAAACTTAGTTGGATAGCACAGTGTTGGAGCAAAACCATTTTGACCTCTGATCATTATCACCCGCACTCTGTAGCCTTTGGTTATTACTAGAATTAATATTATACTTTTGTTTTTTTGCGCATCCTTTTTCATCTGCAGCTTGATACATATTGGACTTATGAACTCTGTCATGGAAGACACGTAAAGCAGTTTCATGAAGTTAAAGCTGGTGTTCCGGTAACTTGTTTATAGTTTCATTTGATATTATTAGCTGATTGAATTAACTGTCTGTCCAGGACTCTAACAAATTGTTTGTTAATGCTGAAACTTTGTCCAAAATGAAGGAAAATATTGTCACCCTTGAAATGATTTTTTGAATTGATCATTTTCTCTTGAAACGTCAAGCATTCTGATTTGACTTGTTTTGTCTAAGTCCTGTTCACTTACCAACAAATTGTTCAAATTTTTTTCTTTAGGATGCCAAAGTTCAAGTCTATTACCTTGGGAAACTTGAACCAAAAGTAGTACACAAGAAACCTGAAGGTGATTCCCTTGAAATAAAAAAATATTTTGGATTTATTTTTAGTAGTTTACTTTATTTTTTGATTCCTTGTATAAACTGCCAGAGCTAGGATTTTGACTTATGCTCTTCGTAACCTGCTTTTGATGCCCTCTTAGGAAGGTGGGGGGCGGGGCCGGGTTGCGTGTGTCCCTAGTTCGAGTTTCAAAACCTGTTATTTCACATATTGATGGGGAAGCCTGCATTGTTGCTGTCGGTGTTTTACTGTAATATTTTTGCTTTTCTTTGTCATTGTCCCAGTTTCAACACATCTTTGTTTCATTTTTCACCATTTTCTGCTGTCCTATGTTGCTGTTGTGTGATCTGATATTATCTTTGTGTGTGTGCTGGTTTGCCCTAATATTACGTGGAATTATACTCTGCAAGCAATCTTTTAGGGGGTCCTATCTCCTATTCTCAAGGCTAAGGCTTGCTTGCCTTCTTAAATTCTAACTAGAGGAGTGCCTATTGTCTTGAGGTATTGTGTGGCTGCACTCTGATGCCTTCATGTACCATATTAGTCTGTAAGTGTTTAGATGACTAGGTACCTGTAGTATTAAATGGTAGCCCTACCTTAGCACCAGTATACCAGGGCCATAGAGGAAATTGGAGTCATTATTAGTTAGTGAGGTGGACTGAATAATCAAACAGTAAATTAAGACAGATGCATGTAGCAACTGTCTAAGGAGTCTCGATAACAAATTTATCATTTAAGCTGGTTCCAAATTCATGCTTTTTATATGTATATGCAAAGGGCAGGATTAGCTCAGTCGGTAGAGCACTTAACTGCAGAGCAGGAGGTCATGGGTTTGATTCCCAGGACCGGACCAATACTCAGGGTCTTAAAATCACTGAGAAATGAAGGTACTGCATTTGACCTGCAAGCGGCTAGACCATCACATGGCTCTGATGACCATGTAAAATGGCGGTCCCATTTCCAGTGGGAGATGTAAAAATAGTGTCCTCAATAAGTACTTTAATGCCAAATACATTGACGCTCAAATAAAGTGCTTCTTTAAGAATTTGTACACTGTACGTCAAGTAATTAATTCAGTCTTTTGTGCCACGTCTAAATCTGCAGAAGAAGCAAAACCTCTTGATCCACCTCCAATAGAAGGCAAAGATCAGGAAAAAAGCGTATGTTTAACCAAAACTTCACCTTTTTATGTGACTGTAATATTCCCAGTAGTTAACTGACTACCCAAAGACCAAATGCTAATTCAAACTGTTTTTGTTTCCCTTCAGAGTTTGAGTTACTGGGATTCTACTGTATTAAGTATATGCAAAATCCAGTCTTTACATTTCCTTATGAATATGCATGCAGTGTGTGCAGTTACCTTTAAATGACTAATAGTAAGGTTGATCATGTTCTTGTCAATGCACAGGTTCCCACTCGTAAAGTCCACGGACATGAGTTTCCTTACTACAAAGTACTGATGGACAATGGTACACCTTGTGACCTACTTGCCAACAAGCCACGAACAACAAGTGTTCTTTACATGTGCAACCCAAGGTCAAGTAATGAGGTTAGCCTTTTCAGTAGCCCACATCGTAGATATAGTGTAACCCTGTTTAGTAATGTCTGGGAAGCTGTCCTGATATCCTTGTTCTGGGCCAGTCATGGTGGATACTCAAATCAAGAACAAGGATTTTGGTATTGTTTCACAAACGGACTCAACCAAAGTTTAGTTTCATCTGTGGCGCAGGCCGGGTGGAGGGGTGGGGGGGTACTTTAGGAATTTTTGGGTGGGGATTTGCCGCTGGGACCCTGGAACCCTTAGCCTATACCAGAGCTAGTTCAGCTGAATTTTGCTACCCTATACTAGACCAAACTCCCTAAATATCCCCCTATCCTAGAGTAGCTTTTAGGCTGAGTTGCGTAAATATAAATTTGCTGATTTTATTTTTTTATATTGAGTAGCAATTTCAGGTTGCCCTAGTCTAGACTAAAATCTTCAACCAATTGATCAGTTTCCTGGAAAATGATACCTTATTCTAGACTTGAACGCTCTGATTTATACACCCTATCCCAGAGTGAACGGCTTTGAAAACAATACCCTTCACAGTGGCACATACCTATAATTATAGCCCATATATGGCAGTACCTCCCCCCCCCCCACCTGGGGCACAGGCTAGCTTATAAGGGAATAACGGAATTAAACATTATTGGTGTGATATCCTTTTTATTGACTGCAATAGTGGCAGTGATTTTGAACCTTACTGAATCAGTGATAAATCAACAAAATGTACACCAGCCTTGAAATGCAACTTTTTTAGCTGTCATCCTTTTTATCACCCACTGTATTTGTGATCTTTCCTTTTTTTAACAGATTATTTCTGTGAAGGAGGTCCAGACATGCCACTATGAGGTGGAAGTATTTACTCCTTTGCTATGTGGAAACCCAGTGTACATGTAAGTGTGAATACCAGCTTAACCCTTTGAGCCACAAGACTGATCAGCATCAAATTTCTTCTTGTAAAATCAATGCTTTATTAAGCAGATTAGCAATGAGAATTACGCACATGATCACACAAGACATACAGTGTTCTCCCTAAATTTTAGCTCAGCAGGTAAGGGACGATTCATGGCCGGTAAGGCACAGGATATGTGCCAGAGGCACACTTTAATGGGGGGGAGGGGGGGTAGTAGAGTGAGGGACATTGCTAGGCCCTTGCTGCGAAATTTTGGAGCTAAGTCCTCTGAAAGGTCATTCCCTAAATATTTTAAGCAAATTGGCCATTCTTTTCTTTATACAACAATTTAAAACTTTTGATTGCAATAATTTTACTCCGTCTTCCATGCGCTCTTTCCAAAACATGTGGCCCATAAAAAGAAAAGCTGTGTATACTTTAGTAATTTTCCATATATTCATTCATTTACTTGTGAGAATCAGATCGGACCACAGCTCGCTTGCGTATTTTTTAACACTTCTTCTTAAATTTTTAGTAAACCTGTAGGCGGTAAGAGGTATTACTTCAGGCGGTAAATTTTACCGGTTACCGCCTGATAAGGAGAACACTGGACATAACAAGTTGATACTTTAACAACTTCTTCCCACTACTTCAATGGAAATTGTATGGGGCACCAAATGAGAATTTAAATTTTTAAATTAGAGGTTAACCGGTTTTAACACCCTCACCTAGCTGTTACAGAATAATCCTGGATATCAGGATCTTAAGACTTGCTCATTCAGATAATACAACAACAAAAACTATGCTCCCAGTTTAAGTCAACTTAATCACTTGGAATAATTATTATTTTCTTTGATTTTCAGGTTTCGAGAGAAACCCGTTCATCATATAAGCTGCCATCCTTTAGATGGCTCTCCCAAGTGAGTCTCAATAATTTTTTTGGTACAAAGTAAAATTCCATGCAGCATTTGTTAGATGAATTCTTATTACATTTTCTCTGTTTTAAAAATATCAATTTACATGTTTTGTTGACAAGTTGTAGACGTTCTTTTTAAGACCTGCTGAAACAGCATATTTTGTATTCAGTTCTGTGCTCGTGGTTCTTCTTTGGGCGATAGTATTTTTATTTGTGAAGCCAAAATGAACAAGAGTAGTTAATTCTAGTTATAGGCAGGCCAAGGATATTATGTAAATTGTAAATTGTAAATTGTAAACATCTTATTATCCACTCCCCTCAGGGCTTTTCAGGGATAATTTACAAGACTGGTTGGGGGACTTTGCCAGACTGCTTAAGGTGCAGTTTACAAGTAGTGAAGGAATGAGTAATGATGCCCCCATACATGAGTGTGAAAGTGAGATAGGCCACTACACCGGGCACTACGTGCCCTACTCTTTACGAAGAGTGTGTGGGTTCTTTAACGTCCCACAGATTTAATACATGTGCAAGGGCTTGTGAGACGGGGCCTACGGTTTATCGTCCTTATCCGAGAAGACTAGAAAGTCTAGCCGTTTGCAGATATTATTACAAAGGCAGCACTTTCTCCTCAGTTATTTAAAGACCCTGAGTGTTGGTCCGGCCGGGGTTTGAACCCGCGACCTCCCGCTCAGTAGACCGGCGCTCTCCCAACTGAGCTAACCAGGCGGCGGTCACTTACCATTGTCACTTACCATTGGTCTCAAAATATAAAAAAACAGGGATACAGTTTCATTTAAGCCTCATGTCCTACCAAAAAACTATAAATAATCAAGAACAGAGTGTTCTCATCATGATAATTAACAGGATTTTACCGATTTACATGTCACTGATGTTGATATTTTCCCTTTCTTTTATAGTGCACCTCGAAGCTATTCTGAACTTATGGATGAAGAATTATCTCTGCACAGTTTTTTGGAGGTTTGTATCTAAAGAAGAGGCAATTGAGCCAAACTTGATTTGTTATCAGAACTTCAGGAGGGTTATTTGGGGCCAGTATGGCTCGGTCTACTATGACAATTTTGTGGTGGTATCGTGTATATGAATGCAGTGTTACCAAAGAGCACTGTGGTGAACTTGTGCCATCACAAATCACCCCCTCAACTCTATCCTCGGAGATCCAGGGGCAGCTAATTGGGACAGGATATTAACTGCTACAGATAAAGTTAATGACAAAAACAGGAGAACCTCTTAACATGTAATCTTACCAAGCCATTTTCAGTCTAAGGGCCTGTTTACATGGAGGTGGGGGACCCCAGGTAGGTGAGGTAACTTGCTTAGGTGGGGTAACCCGCCTATCCACAAAATCTCTCATTTTAATGTGATCACGTTTACATATTAGGTGGGGTAATTTGCCACATGTTACCTCACCTACCTAGGGTCCCCCACCTTCATTTGGAATGTAGTGTTGATTACAAAGGCTATATTGTTTACAAACCAGAAGTTTTGGTGAGGTTAGATGCTAACTGAATTTTGTTTAGTTTGCAGCATCAGATGATCAGACTGCACCAGGTCCGTCTGATGAGCACAGAGACATCCCTCCTCAACCTGATGATTCACTAACGTCAGCCTTCCTGCATGGAGACTACTGTCTTGTTGGGGTCAGTGAACATTTGAATACAGATTACATGGCCGTGCGGTGATACAAAATTTCTCTTCGAGTGTTGAAAAATATTTCACAAGTGAGCGCAATGCGCAAGTGAAATTATTCAAATATTGTTCTCAAACTCATCAATAATTCATTAAGAAAATACAAAGGAAATTAATGTTTAATGAGTGTTTGGAAATCGGATGAAACACTGCTTAGTATTTGCATCCTTAATTTCTCCTTCAAAAATGATCTTGTTTGAGAAGAAATATCAAACATTCGACACAGTGTTTCATCACCAGATGAAACACCTCGAAGTTCGTCAAAAATACTCCGCTGCGCGTCGTTTTTTCAACTCTCTTCTCGGTGTTTCATCTGGTGATGAAACACTGCATCTCATGTTTGATATATTACATGAAACACCGAGAAGAGAGTTGAAAATACGACGCGCAGCGGAGTATTTTTGACGAACTTCGAGGTGTTTCATCTGGTGATGAAACACTGTGTCGAATGCTTGATATTTCTTCTCAAACAAAATCATTTTTGAAGGAGAAATTAAGGATGCAAATACTAAGCAGTGTTTCATCCGATTTCCAAACACTCATTAAACATTAATTTCCTTTGTATTTTCTTAATGAATTATTAATGAGTTTGAGAACTGGTGATGAAACACTGCATCTCATGTTTGATATATTACTTCAACACGAGAAGAGAAATTTCGTATCTCCAAGCGACCGTGCAGTGTTCCATTTATTGTAATATATAGATATGATTTAGCTAGGGCTAAAAGCGAAGCTCTCGATAATATTTATAGTTTGTTCAAACAAAATATAAAATCGCGTAATGCTAAGCGGCGAAGGCAACGCCGGAGAACGGTGAAAAACAACAATAGGTCTTATTAGCAAAAAAACAACTTTGCACGTGCAGCACACTTTTTTGTACATTTCTTTGCCGTTGTTTTGCACGACTACATCGTGAAACCTCCAGAAACTTTTTTTTATGGAGGAAATGTCGTACGTGTTCTCGTTCACTTTTTTTTTCACTGTCGTTCATTTTCTCTTTGCATTGGTGGCCGCTAGCATTTCTCATTTTGTCACCACCGCTACAAAATTTTCATGTTTTTCTTCCACCAAAAAAATGTCTCCTTTGCTTTTATCCCTTGCTCTAGATCTCTGTCGCCGTTTTTCGCGTTGAGCTTCGCTGGCCTGCCGCCTAAGTTCTCTTTTTCTCTGTCTTTCTCTTGCTCTATATTCCAAATTTGTGGACGTGACAATCAATCTAAGCTTAATACTTTAGACAACACGGATACAGAAACAATTTCCGCTTTCCGTTTTCGTCTTTATTGACTCTTGAGTTGTCTCTGCTTTACAAGACGCGGGTGGTTATGCGATTTCCCGCAAAAATAACCTCGAGAACTGCATTTGGGTTGCCATACCTGTTGATTGAGTTATTTTACATTGGTATGCCTGTAGTACGGACGGAGGGTCACTCGGGCGGTTGGTGTACGGTCACGTGATTACCCAATTTTCTCGGATGGGTAGATTTCCACATTTTCTTACCCATGGCAACACTCTAGGCATGCTTCATGCTAAGGAAACCGGGATAAGCTCCGGCCAATAGGCCATTTGCACGATGGCGTCATTTTACTACTACGACCAGAATTCTTTTGGGTTTTCTTTTCATATTTAAATTTGGTAGTCCCAGTGAGGTTTAAATAACAAAAGTCCTAATTTGCACAAGAAAGCAAAACCCTGAAGGATCCTGGTCATAGTAGTAAAATGACGCCGTCATGCAAATAGCCTATTGGAGCTTTGGCTGGTGTGCGCCTTTACCTTACCCAAGAAGGCAAAGCATCCTCCTTGAACTTGTACATCCACGTCTGCCCCAACCGACGATCTTAACTTAATTTAGGTCAACCTAAATTAGAGTTTGGTTCGTCCCATAAAAAGTTCAACGTCTGGCCTAGGCCCTACTCTCTCATTATTTTCAAAGAAAAGTGTGTTATTTACTTTTACGTGGTGTTGGCTGACCATTAATAATTATTTTCTTGTGATTTGCAGGGCGGCTCTGGTTGGTGGAAGTACGAATTCTGTTATGGCAAGCATGTAACACAGTTTCACGAGGAGGTAACAAACAACAAACAGCAAAACGTTTTAGCCTCATGCGATGGTTTCTGATAAGTGTAGTGCCATGATAAATAATCCACCTGGCCCCGGTTGTTCAAACAATGGATAGCGGTATCCAACAGAAAAATCACTATCCAGCCGATAAGTATTAGCCAGGGAAACCAATTACGTTATCCATTGGATAGAGATTTATTCAGTGGATAGTGTTATCTGGGTTTCGAGCAACTGGGCCCTGAATAACAAGACAAATTTGAAAACATGTTAATATTTTTTAATTGATGAAAAAGTAAATTTGTAGACTATATTTAGTCTCTCATTTTCCTCGATGACAGTCGATTGCACTACACTCTTTTCTTTTTATAAGAATGTTGTTTTTCCGGCCCAGGCTGAATATTCTTATTTTTCTGCCGATTTTAGGCTGAAAATATTCTTGTATTATTCTTAAATTATAGCTTATGACATTTCCGTTTTAGAATTTATTGGGGTATATGTATATGTGTCACATGTACCGTTCATCGAACTGTCATTAGCGTTGAACATTTTGCTATAGCTAGTGCAGGTTTTTTCGTTTTGTTGGCTAGTTTCGCCGTCCAGAGAAAGGAATAATTTTATATGGTTAAGTTAAAAACATAAAATTGTATTGTATTTACAGATGTTTCAACACACAAAATTATATCTATCCTTTTCAAAATCTCAGCCTCGGCTTTATTCTTAAAATATTCTTAAAATTTCGCAAATTTCAGCCTCGATATTCTTATAAAATATATTCTTATAAAAAAAAAGGAGTGTAAAAGATCACCACCCTTCGTTTGCCCTTCCTCACTGGTTACCTATTTCATTTGCTCTATCATCTTTGAGAAAATGAAGGACTACTTTAGACTAATGGGTTTTGACTCCAGCTTGTGTAAAATAAAGACTATTGAAAGTAAAGAGAGTTGGCCTAATGTCCCAAACGATTTTGCCGACATAACGATATTTAGATTTAGATTTAGATTTAGATAAAGATAACTGTTGTCTCTGACCGGTTTGTCTTTGTCAATTACAAAACACAAATGCCATACAGAGGACCAATTAGCTCTCCGGCAAGGCAATCATGTGTAACTGGTGCGAAGCGTAGGAAATATATGCATGGACAAATTAGTTCTGATTGGCTGAAAATTAGCCCATAGTAGCATAGTAAACCATTGACATACAGTCTGTAGGTTGAGCAATATAGCACCAAAGCACTGGCCAGGGCACTTTTGAGTCTGGCTTGAATAAAAATTCGAACAGTTTGAAAATGAGCCATATATATTTATATACACTTTTTTTAAAAATTCAGGAATCTGGTACAAGGATAGATATTCTTCTGGGCAAATGGGACAGAGAGGTAATATTCTATACACGTAGTCAAGGTGGCTGAACACAGTTTGGCGGGCGGTCAGTGGTAACTCGCGTGACAGCGCGTGTTTTTAATTAGACAAACAAACATGGCGGCGAAAAAGCAATGATACACAGAAGACGATTTCTCAAAATCTACTCATTAAAATTTTTGTGATATTTGGCAGAATTTTTACTTTTATCGTATTTTAGATAATGAAAACTTTAAAATGGAGGTTGAACAGACGAATTTCGTGACACATTTAATAATTACGATACAATTATATTATTGATTATCTAAAAGTCCGTCTGTTAAAATTTGATCAAATAAGTTTCAAATGGTAATGATTAGTTACAGTAAGCTGTGTGCAAGATTATAGGAAAATCTAATGAGCGAATTTTATGTAAACTGAACAAAAGTGAAATTTTAAGGTTGTATTCAATCGTTCATGTTGCCATGGAAACTACAAAAACGTCAAATTTTACCTGTCAATCAAAATCTTTCATTAGTATATTTTCCACCTGCCAAGTTTCAGCTTGTGAGCTGCAACCTTTCTCTTGCCATGATTTGGCAAATGACATACACTCACAAACTACCAAAACTGTGTTCAGCCACCTTAAAATAGGCCACTGTCGTGTTCCAAAAACTCTCACTTTCAAAACGAGGCTAAGTGCAAAAGCTTTCTTGCTGAAAATTAGTTCAGTCCATTTGCTTGAGAATAAAAAGATCATTTTCATATCAGTGGCTTCACACTAAGCCTCGCTTTGATACACAAGCTTGGGGCAACTCGAAAATGGCCTTCTAAGTGGCGACGTTTTCCTTCTGTTGAAACAAAGCTGATTTACTTTGAGTTTATTCTGTTAAACTAAGAGTGGTACTGCACTGTATAAGGTCGTCAGTCGTTTGAATAGCAAGTAGTGGTGAAGAACTTTCCATTTTATACCCTCATTTACCCACCCCCCTGGGGTTCTGTTGCGGCGCGTGCCTCAAATTCCCTTGTGATTCTTTATCCTTGTCAAGGATGCAAGAACATCATTACGTCAATAGTAGTGAAGTTCTAGGGACCTTACGATCCCACAACGGCGACGTCTATGGAAACGTCACTGAAAAATAGACTCCGCATCCTTTCAAACCATTAAAAAGAACGGAATTTCGGTTAGAACTGAAGAGAGCGGGCCGCGCCTGAGTTCAGACAGAGATGGTAGAATTTATCGCCTTCCTATTCCCGTGCTCAAAATACTTGAAATTTGGTCATTTCACTTCGTAGTCGTGCAGAGACGGCAAAGAAATGTGCAAAACAAGCGTGATGCACGTGAAGGGTTGTTCTTTTGCTTACTAAACCTATTGCTTTTTGACGCCGCCGTTGCCGTCGCCGTCGTCGTTTCGTAAGGTCCTTTCTGTCAATGAGACGCAGACGTCTCTACTCTGAAACGTCCCTAGCGTCGAGGAACTAGGAGAGCAGTATTCGCAGGCTAAGCTGATACGAAAACAGTTTTTGTTGAAATAAAATGGCTAAGCTTTCTTTGTGTTTTATGTTTTAGGTTCATATTAAATGGAAGAAAGACAGAATGGGGCACACATCAAGGTAAGAATGGATAAGCTGTTACCTGTTTCACTGAGCTGTTCTTGTAAGATTCAAATGCCAGTAGTCAAGCCAGTTTTGCTTGTTTTCGGTATCTTTTGTCGAGGTTTTCTTATTTTCACGACAACAGCAAAAACGTTTTGATAAAGACTTAGTGTTAGTTATCTCTTTTTCTTAATAATTTCATTTCCAAACATTGTGTTTGCTCTAGGACAAAGTTATACATCCCCAAAACGTTTCGAAACAGCAGTGACTGTATTTCAAGATCTGATATCTAAGATCTAAAACTGAGATCTGCCAGTGCGTGATACGAAAATAGCACTGCTGTTTAATGCACCCACCAAGTTTCAGTTTTCAAACTTACTTTTTCCGATTTGTTTACAGCTATGCGGATCACTTTTACGGCGGTGGCGATGTTTGCGACCTAACAGGAAATCCTAGAAGCGTTCAAGTTAGATTAAAGTACGTTTTAATTGCCTCAACACTTGCTTTTCCGAGTGTGCCATAGCAGACGAAAAATTAATTCCGGTTAATTAAATACTGGCCTGTGTATCCAAACGAACCGCTGACTATGCTTCATCTGAATGGTGACACCACAGGATTTTGTCCACAAACTCAAAAGTTGTTTCAAAAAATGTCACTGGGCAGTACTTTCCTGTCACAGTGTGGTATTGTTTATTATTCGGTGCAAGGAGGCGCAATCGGTGGATGAAATCCTAAAGTGTAACCATTCAAATGATAGCTCAAACTGAGCAGTACTTTCCTGTGGTACTGTTTATTATGCTGTACAAGGTGGTTCTAACTTTTGAGTCTGTGGATGAAATCCTAAAGTGTGACCATTCAAATGAAAGCTACTGAGCAGTACTTTCCTGTGGTACTGTTTATTATGCTGTACAAGGTGGTTCTAACTTTTGAGTCTGCGGACGAAATCCTATGGTGTGACCATTCAAATGAAACCTTTTTGGGAGCTCTTTCACATGGTGGTAGTTGTTTTTCAGCATTTTACAAAATGAAATTTGGAGTTTTTCTTTAATTTTGACATTGGCCATTTCTGGGAGTGAAAGAGTTAAGATTATTAAATTGAGTTCATGATGTCTGTTTGCTGCATTTTTTGCAGGTGTAAGGAGTCCCAGCATTTACAAGAAGTTGCTCTTTCGTTGTCGGAGCCAAGCACTTGTCAATATATTTTAAAAGTAAGAAAATCTTAACGCGAATTAATGTGATCTCATTCCCCCTGCCGTCTTTCCCCCTCACTCCCTTTGCCTTTTTTGAACTGTCAACCGTGATAAGCATTTATTTATTTTACAGGTCGAATCGCCAATTATCTGTCCGTTGCTAGAGGAAATGGACGCGTATGGTTTATTTCAAGTGGACGATTCGTGAATATTGCCAGCTAGTTATTTATCAGTAGGATCGATTTTTATGTAGTCTTGTACACCGTGGACTACATTAGGGACCTTAAGCAAGGACGACGACGACGGCAGTGAAAACTTCGGCAAAAAAAATGTATTTGCGTTCTTTCAAACTTAATGGCGTCTATTTGGACCCGTTCAATATGTCAAATGCAGGTGACTCTTCCTGGAGTTGAATTCTTAAGGTTCAAAAAGAACAAGGAAAATTCGTCGTCGTATGTCCACGTCCTTCATAAAACGTCAAATTAGGAGGTTTCACGTCGTAGTCGTGCAGTGGACGTCAAAGAAATGTACTAAAAAGCGTGATGCACGTGCAGAGCTGTTGTTTTGATCATTAAACCTATTGTTTTTTTGAAGTCGTCGTTGTGGTCGTCGTCGTAGTTGCTTAAGCTCCCTATCATCAACGCTGGAGTGTAACATTTTTTACTCATAGTTACAAATAAGTGAGGTGTTTTGTATTTATCAAAGGAGATGTAAATAGTAATTTGTTTTGTTTACCATTTTGAGAAGGCAAACTAGGAAAAATTTAACTCTTACACGGGAAAAGGAATAGAACTACAGGAGCCAGTTGTAGACATTTTAACATCGGACGTTCAGCCTTAAGGTTGATTTCCACTGACGCGTTTTTTGGCTAGCACGTTAACGCACGTAACGTTTAATCACGTAAATAAAATAGAAGCAAGATATAAAGTGTCGAGATTAAATGTGAAGTTGAGCGAGGTTCTACTTTTACGCTTACGTGCGACCTTTCATACATTGCCTCTATTTTATTAGCTAACGTAAATTTTACGCACGTACGCACGTAAAAATTACGCGTCAGTGGAAATCAACCCTTACCGATCAAAACTTTTCATACGACGGCAACAACGGTGAAAACGTCAATTAAAAAGTGACTTCGCGTTCTTTGAAACTTCAGCGCGATTTTTTATCTCCACTCACTCTCTTTTCGCCCCAGGTAAGGGAATCCATATTCCGGAATCCGGGAAACTTTTGCTCGTTGAATCCGGAATTCGGGAAAATTTTGCTCGTGGAATCCGTACTCCGAGAAAATTTTGTTCGTGGAGTCCAGAATTCGATAACATTTTGCTCCTGGAATCCGGGATCCTTGGCTTTGGAATCCGGAATACAGCTCGAAATTCCACTAAGGATTAGATTCAATAATCCAAGTTCCACTGACAAAGACTGGAATCCGGAATCCATGGCGTGAAATCCAGAGTCCAAGACTCCCTTAGATTCTGTTGCATGGGGCGACTCTTTGTATAATGTAGGCGAACTCTCGGGGAGTTTACTTCCAAACAAACTCACCCAAGTTTATAAAGAGAAACAGGCCGTGTCTTGTCGGGGGAATCAAGCAATACGCTGATTAGCACGGGAATAACGGGAACGTCAGTTGACGACGGCGCGCGCAAATCAAACAACTGGCTTGATCAATGGCAGAGCGGCAAATCGAGCACCGAAAGTCGTGTTTAGTCCTTTCCGCGCGCTTTCTTGTCGTCAACTGACGTTCCCGTCCTGTTGCTAAATCAGCCTAAATTAACAAACCAATAACTTATTTGCTGCCTTTTTTAATGAAATTCTTACAGGGTAGTCAGTAATAGAATAGGCCAGTTTTCATGCTTAGTTCCGAGGCTAAGAGGAATTATTAGTAGTGCTATTGTTAGGTGACTGTTATCAGCCTCTACACAGACCTTGTTTTGTTTTTCTTTTCGTTCTTTCGAAAACATCGGCGAGCGCGCGAGAAAGGTTTTTATTCTTTATCACGGGCGCTCGACGGACTTTTTCGAAAAACATCGGCGAGCGCGCGAGAAAGGTTTTTATTTTTTATTACGCGCGCTCGACGGACTTTGAAGAGAAAAGAGGGTCTGTGAACAGGCTAGATTGTTATATGCTGTAAGTATTTTTCTAGCTGAAGGCAAGGCGGCATAGGCTCAGTATAGGAGACAATAGAGCCTGAATACACTGCTTGTATCTTTGAAGGGGAGATACTCTCTATAAGGGCCTATGCTTGGAGGCTCTGCCTTTATGGGTTACCTTTTACAGGCTTCAGGTATACGAAAGGGTAGGGATTTCACCAGTTGAAATGTATGAAAGGGTAGGGAAATCTGTCATTTCCGTCTGTAAAAAGGCTCAAAAGGGCTAACAGATGCATTTTATAGTTGTGAAAAAGTCGAGAAAAAGCGCCGGTTTTTCGATTTATTTATTTTTTAAAGAGTTAGACAGAGCATTAGCAGCGGTTTAAAGGGATGCAATGTTCTGAACTAGGTATCTGAAAAGGGTACCATTTGTCAATAAAGAGGTACCGCTTTTCTGTCAAAGGGTATTAAAGGGGTTGGACCTCTGCGCGGAGCCTCCCTGTATGACACTTTGTTGAGTACCCACCCCCACCAGGGCTTTGAATGGGTTTTTTCCGATTCGAAAATTTGAAAGAAATGCTGCATTAAGTCTTTGATTGCAAGTCGGAGGTCAACAAAAATCTTACCCACTCGGGGAGAGCCTTGGTTGCCTTCTAAGTCTTCCCCGGGCGAGTGCGATTTTGTACGGTACCCAGGCCTCATTTGCTTGGCCGCGCGCGCGTTGGTCTGGGCAGATTTGACAGATTTGTAACGGCCATTTTTTCTGGTTTCACGGAATTTGCTGGATTCGTTTCGCTAGCTTGGGGGAAGCTTCATGGTCTGAATATTTGAGACAGTTCTGTTTCCACGATCTCGGCGTTGTAATGTACCGTTGCGGTTTGAATTTCGTGAAAAACGTCGTGTTGGAAAGCGAGTCCATGTGATATGGCGGCTAGCGATCGAGCAACATAATCTTTTTTCTTGAATGGAGGGAGGATTTAGCTGATTTCCTGAAACTACCTGTGAGCATTGAGGACAGAGACAACTAAAAGCCAGGTAGGTGTCATAGATTTTTTTTCAGTGTTTCTTACAATTTTTTGGATCGAAACTTCAACCCAATCAGTACAATACTGGTGAGCTTGGGTGACCTGTGGCTAAAGGGTGTGTCACAATGAAAATCATTATAACCGTGTCGAAGAAATAATACTTATCATAAGTCATTATATAAAAAGGGGAAGAAAGGGTTACGAGTCCGCTGGCTTTGGCTTACCTACAATCACAATTTACCTGTAGGCTAAAAGAATTATGAACTTTTCGGAGGCCTGTAAGCTTAAAAAATGGTTTTGAACTTTTCGGAGGCCCATTTTGGCTTCTGGCGTGTTTCTTCGACAAAAACTTTACTATTTAAAAACTCTTTTTACTTTCTTGGACAAAAACTTCACTTTACCCATGTATATAAATGGGTCCATTGTCACTGGGGGAAAATGAGGGACTACTCGTAGTCCACAGGACTACGGCAAACCTTGTGTGACAACTCGGTGACAATAATTTTGTTTGAAATACAATTTCGCCGAACTATGACAAATAACTATGACAAAACACGTTTGTCACACACAAGTGCTTTGCTGTCCTCCTATTCAGGAATTTCTTCAAGCTGTCCTTTTGCGTAAACTCGCTAATATGTTGGGTTGACGGAAGGGTAACTGGAAAACTGTTTCAAATACTGGGAAATATGACAGCTGGAAGTTGCTAATATATGTGTGGTGGTTCATGTCCTTTGTTTAATTTTGGATATGGTAATGTATAATAATAAGGGTAATTATTCAAGCTGTCGCATAGAATTTTTTATCAAAGATGACACCGAAAACTTCCAGCAGGAAGTTGACGGCTATACGCCTATGCTGTCAATGAATCCACCCGAAGAAGGTAAATTAAACAAAGGTTAAGACTGAATCACAGCTTATACATTGGTGAAAAATGAAATATGGTAAATTTTAAGCTCGGTGAAACAAATGTGAAAACGAAATGATCAGAGTTTCACGAGCGTGGGACAAAGAAAAAATCTGAGTCCCCGACCGGGTTCGAACCCTTGACACCGACTCAGATTTTTTCCTTGTCCCACGTTCGTGACATGCTGATCATTTCGTTTTCGTTTAAGGCTGAATTGTACAAGACTTTGCGCGTTTTATGAATTCACTGTGGTGAATCGCTCTGTGAAGACATTTATTGTTTTTAACCAAGGGTTAAAGGGTAAAAAAAAACTCATCTTGCAGAACGGAAAATTCGCGAACTTTCAGTCTTCTCCTTTACTGCTGTTTTTACGCCTACGAATACTCTTCGAGCAATCAGCGTAAGAAATATTTCCAAACTCCTGCGTAGGGTCAAAAAAATTATCTCTGCACAGTTTTTTGGAGGTTTGTATCTAAAGAAGAGGCAATTGAGCCAAACTTGATTTGTTATCAGAACTTCAGGAGGGTTATTTGGGGCTAGTATGGCTCGGTCTACTATGACAATTTTGTGGTGGTATCGTGTACATGTATATGAATACAGAATTACAAAAGAGAACTGCGGTGAACTTGTGCCATTACAAATCACCCCCTCAACTCCATCCTCAGAGACCCAGGGGCAGCTAATTGGGACAGGATATTTAGGAGCTTAACTGCCACAGATAAAGTTTATGACAAAAACAGGAAAGCCTCTCAACATGTAATCTTACCAAGCCATTTTCAGTCTAAGGGCCTGTTTACATGGAGGTGGGGGACCCCAGGTAGGTGAGGTAACCCGCCCGTCCACAAAATCTGTCATTTTAATGTGATCACGTTTACATGTTAGGTGGGGAAATTTGCCACATGTTACCTCACCTACCTGGGGTCCCCCACCTTCATGTAAACAGGCCCTAAGAATTCCCTATTTGGAATGTAGTGCTGATTACAAAGACTATATTGTTTCCAAACCAGAAGTTATGGTGAAGTTAGGTGCTAATTGAATTTTGTTTAGTTTGCAGCATCAGAGGATCAGACTGCACCAGGTCCTTCAGATGAGCACAGAGACATCCCTCCCCAGCCTGATGATTCACTAACGTCAGCCTTCCTGCATGGAGACTACTGTCTTGTTGGGGTCAGTGAACATTTGAATACAGATTACATGGCTGTGCGGTGATACAAAATTTCTCTTCGAGTGTTGAAAAATATTTCACAAGTGAGCGCAGTGCAAAAGTTCAACACGAGAAGAGAAATGTCTTATCTCCAAGCGGCCGTGCAGTGTTCCATTTATTGTAATATATAGATTTAGCCAGGGCTAAAAGCGAAGCTCTCGATAATATTTATATTTTTGTTCAAACAAAATATAAAATCGTGTAATGCTAAGCGGCGAAGGCAACACCGGAGAACGGTGAAAAACAACAATAGGTCTAATTAGCAAAAAAGCAACTTTGCACGTGCAGCACACTTTTTTTGTACATTTCCTTGCCGTTGTTTTGCACGTCTACAACGCGAAACTTCCGGAAACTTTTTTATGGAGGAAATGTCGTACGTGTTCTCGTTCACTTTTTATCCACTGCCGCTCATTTTCTCCTTGCATTGGTGGCCGCTAGCATTTCTCATTTTGCCACCACCGTTACAAAATTTTCATGTTGTTCTTCCAACAAAAAAAATGTCTCCTTTATTTTTTATCTCTCACTCTAGATCTCTGTCACCCCTTTTCTCGCTGAGTTTCGCTGGCATGCCGCCTACTCTCTCGTTTTTCCCTTTCTTTCTCTTATTTTATTTTCCAAATTTGTGGACATGACAATCAATCTAAGCTTAAAACTTTAGACAACACGGATACAGAAACAATTTCCGGTTTCCGTTTTCGTCTTTATGGACTCTTTAGCTACCTCTGCTTTACAAGACGCGGGTGGTTATGCGATTTCCCGCCAAAATAACCTCGAGTTGCATTTGGGTTGCCATACCTGTTGATTGAGTTATTTTACATTGGTATGCCCGTAGTACGGACGGAGGGTCACTCGGGCGGTTGGTGTACGGTCACGTGATTACCCAATTTTCTCGGATGGGTAGATTTCCACATTTTCTTACCCATGGCAACACTCCTAGGCATGCTTCATGCTAAGGAAACCGGGATAAGCTCCGGCCAATAGGCCATTTGCACGATGGCGTCATTTTACTACTACGACCAGAATTCTTTTGGGTTTTCTTTTCATATTTAAATTTGGTAGTCCCAGTGAGGTTTAAATAACAAAAGTCCTAATTTGCACAAGAAAGCAAAACCCTGAAGGATCCTGGTCATAGTAGTAAAATGACGCCGTCATGCAAATAGCCTATTGGAGCTTTGGCTGGTGTGCGCCTTTACATTACCTAAGAAGGCAAAGCATCTTCTTTGAACTTGTACATCGACATCTGACCCAACAGACGACCTTAACTTAATTTAGGTCAACCTAAATTAGAGTTTGGTTCGTCTCATGAAAAGTTCGACGTTTGGCCCAGACCTTACTCTCATTATTTTCAATGAAAAGTGTGTTATTTACTTTGACGTTGTGTTGGCTGACAATTAATAATTATTTTCTTGTAATTTGCAGGGCGGCTCTGGTTGGTGGAAGTACGAATTCTGTTATGGCAAGCATGTAACACAGTTTCACGAGGAGGTAACAAACAACAAACACAAAAACATTTTAGCCTCATGCGATGGTTTCTGATAAGTGTAGTGCCATGATAAATAATTAACCTGGTCCCGGTTGTTCAAACAATGGATAGCGGTATCCAACCGAAAAATCACCATCCAGCGGATAAGTATTAGGGAAACCAATTACGTTATCCACTGGACAGAGATTTATCCAGTTGTTAGTGTTATCTGGGTTTTGAACAACTGGGCCCTGAATAACAAGAAACATTTGAAAACGTTTTAATATTTTGTAATTGATGAAGAAGTAAGTTTCTAGAATATGTTTATTCTCTCATTTTCCACGGTGACAGCCGATTGCACTAAAAAATCACCACCCTTCGTATCCCCTTCCTCGCTGGTTTCCCATTTCGTTTGCTCTACTATCTTTGAGAAAATGAAGGAGTACTTGTACAGGTGATATACCTAATTACAATAACGTTGTCTTAGAAAAATGAAAAAAAGGAAAAAGCCAAATAGGAATTAATTAGGCTAATAAGCCTAAACAGATTCATATGCAGCATGTGCACATGGACGTCGTATTTGCCTGTTGGAATTTGCTATTGTTTTAAAGCTGGAAAACAATCAAAAAAATTCCAGCGGAGAAATGCAGCAGCGGCAAATGAATCCACCCTGAGAATGTGGCTTAATTAGCGTAATTAATTCCTATTTGGCTTTTTCCTTTTTTCATTTTTCCACGACAACGTTATTGAAATTAGGTGTATATGCATGGACAAATTAGTTCTGATTGGCTGAAAATTAGTCCATAGTAGCATAGTAGACCAATGACGTACTGCGGAAAAGTCTGTAGGTTAAGCAATACAGAACTAAAGCAGTGGCAAAAGCACTTTTGACTGTGGCTTGAATAAAAATTCAAACAGTAGGAAAATGAGCCATATATATTTATATACACTTTTTTTAAAATTCAGGAATCTGGTACAAGGATAGATATTCTTCTGGGCAAATGGGACAGAGAGGTAATATTCTATACACGTACTTAACAATAGGCCACTGTCGTGTTCCAGAAACTCTCACTTTCAAAACGAGGCTAAGTGCAAAACCTTTCTTGCTGAAAATTAGTTCTCTTTGCATGAGAATAAAAAGATCATTTTCATATCATCGGCTTCACACGAAGCCTCGCTTTGATACACAAGCTTCGGGCAACTCGAAAATGGCCTTCTAAGTGGCGATGTTTTCGTTCTGCTGAAACAAAGCCGATTTACTTTGTGTTTTTTCCTTTCAAGTAAGAGCGGTACTGCACTGTATAAGGTCGTCAGTCGTTTGAACAGCAAGTGGTGGTGAAGAACTTTTCACTTTATACCCCCTTTTACCAACCCTCTGGGGTTCTGCTGCGGCGCTTGCCTCAAATTCCCTTGTGATTCTTCACCCGTGTCAAGGATGCAAGAACATCACTACGTCATCAGTAGGGAATTTCTAGGGACCTTACGATTCCACAACGGCGACGCCCATGAAAACGTCACTGAAAAATAGACTCCGCATCCTTTCAAACCATTTCGTGATTTTCCCAAGTGTCCCTGTTACTTAAAAGAACGGAATTTAGGTTAGAAATGAAGAGAGGGGGCCGCGCCTGAGTTCAGACAGAGATGGTAGAATTTATCGCCCTCCTATTCCCGTGCTCAAAATACTTGAAATTTGGTCATTTCACGTCGTAGTTGTGCAGAGACGGCAAAGAAATGTGCAAAACAAGCCTGACCGTCGCCGTCGTAGTTTCGTAAGGTCTCTGCTGTCAATGAGACGCAGACGTCTCGCCCCTAGCGTCGAGGAACTAGGAGAGCAGTATTCGCAGGCTAAGCTGATACGAAAAAAATTTTTGTTGAAATAAAATGGCTAAGCTTTCCTTGTGTTTTATGTTTTAGATTCATATTAAATGGAAGAAAGACAGAATGGGGCACACATCAAGGTAAGAATGGATAAGCTGTTACCTGTTTCACTGAGCTGTTCTTGTAAGATTCAAATGCCAGTAGTCAAGCCAGTTTTGCTTGTTTTCGGTATCTTTTGTCGAGGTTTTCTTATTTTCACGACAACAGCAAAAAACTTTTGATAAAGACTTAGTGTTAGTTATCTCTTTTTCTTAGTAATTTCATTTCCAAGCATTGTGTTTCCTCTAGGACAAAGTTATACATCTCCAAAACGTTTCGAAACAGCAGTGACTGTATTTCAAGATCTAATATCTAAGATCTAAAACTGAGATCTGCCAGCGAGTGATTAAATTATGAAAATAGCACTGCTGTTTAATGCACCCACCAAGTTTCAGTTTTCAACCTTACTTTTGTCAATTTGTTTACAGCTATGCGGATCACTTTTACGGCGGTGGCGATGTTTGCGACCTAACAGGAAATCATAGAAGCGTTCAAGTTAGATTAAAGTACGTTTTAATTTCCTCAACACTTGTATTTCCAAGTGTGCCATAGCATACGAAAAACTAATTCCGGTTAATTAAATACTGGCCTGTATATAAATAGTGCTATTCAAACGAACCGCTAACTATTTTTAATCTGAATGTTGACACCATAGGATTTTGTCCACAAACTCAAAAGTTGTTCCAAAAAATGCCACTGAGCAGTACTTTCCTGTCACATTGTGGTACTGTTTATTATTCTGTGCAAGGAGACTTTTGAGTCTGAGGATGAAATCCTATGGTGTGACCATTCAAATGAAAGCTACTGAGCAGTACTTTCCTGCGGTACTGTTTATTATGCTGTACAAGGTGGTTCTAACTTTTGAGTCTGAGGATGAAATCCTTAAGTGTGACCATTCAAATGAAAGCTACTGAGCAGTACTTTCCTGTGGTACTGTTTAGTATGCTGTACAAGGTGGTTCTAACTTTTGAGTCTGAGGATGAAATCCTAAAGTGTGACCATTCAAAGGAAAGCTACTGAGCAGTACTTTCCTGCGGTACTGTTTATTATGCTGTACAAGGTGGTTCTAACTTTTGAGTCTGAGGATGAAATCCTACAAAGTGTGACCATTCAAATGAAAGCTACTGAGCAGTACTTTCCTGTGGTACTGCTTATTATGTTGTACATTGTACAAGGTGGTTCTAACTTTTGAGACTGCGGGCGAAATCCTATGCTGTGACCATTCAAATGAAACCTTTTTGGGAGCTCTTTCACATGGTGCTAGTTTTTTTTCAGCATTTTACAAAATAAAATTTTGGAGTTTTTCTTTAATTTTGACATTGGCCATTTCTGGGAGTAAAAGAGTTAAGATTATTAAAATGAGTTCATGGTGTCTGTTTGTTGCATTTTGTGCAGGTGTAAGGAGTCCCAGCATTTACAAGAAGTTGCTCTTTCGTTGTCGGAGCCAAGCACATGTCAATATATTTTAAAAGTAAGGAAATCTTAACGCGAATTAATGTGATCTCACTCCCCCTGTCGTCTTTCCCCCCACGCCCTTTGCATTTTTTGAACTCTCAAGGTAAGAAGCATTTATTTATTTTACAGGTCGAATCGCCAATTATCTGTCCGTTGCTAGAGGAAATGGACGCGTATGGCTTATTTCAAGTGGACGATTCGTGAATATTGCCAGCTAGTTATTTATCAGTAGGATCGATTTCTATGTAGTCTTGTACACCGTGGACTACATTAGGGACCTTAAACAAGGACGACGACAACGGCAGTGAAAACGTCGGTAAAAAAAATGAATTTGCGTTCTTTCAAACTTAATCGCGTCTATTTGGACCCGCTCAATATGTCAAATGCAGGTGACTTTTCCTGGAGTTGAATTCTTAAGGTTCAAAAAGAACAAGGAAAATTCGTCGTCGTATGTCCACGTCCTTCATAAAACGTCAAATTAGGAGGTTTCACGTCGTAGTCGTGCAGTGGACGTCAAAGAAATGTACTAAAAAGCGTGATGCACGTGCAGAGCTGTTGTTTTGATCATTTTTTTGAAGTCGTCGTTGTGGTCGTCGTCGTTAGTTGCTTAAGCTCCCTATCATCAACGCTGGAGTGTAACATTTTTTACTCATAGTTACAAATAAGTGAGGTGTTTTGTATTTATCAAAGGAGATGTAAATAGTAATTTGTTTTGTTTACCATTTTGAGACGGCAAACTAGGAAAAATTTAACTCTTACACGGGAAAAGGAATAAAACTACAGGAGCCAGTTGTAGACATTTTAACATCGGACGTTCAGCCTTAAGGTTGATTTCCACTGGCGCGTTTTTTGGCTCCGCACGTTAACGCACGTAACGTTTAATCACGTAAATAAAATAGAAGCAAGATATAAAGTGTCGAGATTAAATGTGAAGTTGAGCGAGGTTCTACTTTTACGCTTACGTGCGACATTTCATACATTGCCTCTATTTTATTAGCTAACGTAAATTTTACGCACGTACGCACGTAAAAATTACGCGTCAGTGGAAATCAACCCTTACCGATCAAAACTTTTCATACGACGGCAACAACGGTGAAAACGTGACTTAGAAAGTGACTTCGCGTTCTTTGAAACTTCAGCGCGATTTTTTATCTCCACTCACTCTCTTTTCGCCCCAGGTAAGAGAATCCATATTCCGCAATCCGGGAAACTTTTGCTTGTTGAATCCGGAATTCGGGAAAATTTTGCTCGTGGAATCCGTACTCCGAGAAAATTTTGTTCGTGGAGTCCAGAATTCGATAACATTTTGCTCCTGCAATTCGGGATCCTTGGCTTTGTAATCCGGAATACAGCTCGAAATTCCACTAAGGATTAGATTCTATAATCCAAGTTCCACTGACAAAGACTGGAATCCGGAATCCATGGCGTGGAATCCAGAGTCCAAGACTGCCTTAGATTCTGTTGCATGGGGCGACTCTTTGTATAATGTAGGCGAACTCTCGGGGAGTTTACTTCCAAACAAACTCACCCAAGTTTATAAAGAGAAACAGGCCGTGTGTTGTCGGGGGAATCAAGCAATACGCTGATTAGCACGGGAATAACGGGAACGTCAGTTGACGACGGCGCGCGCAAATCAAACAACTGGCTTGATCAATGGCAGAGCGGCAAATCGAGCACCGAAAGTCGTGTTTAGTCCTTCCCGCGCGCTTTCTTGTCGTCAACTGACGTTCCCGTCCTGTAGCTAAATCAGCCTAAAATAACAAACTAATAACTTATTTGCTGCCTTTTTTTAATGAAATTCTTACAGGGTAGTCAGTAATGGAATAGGCCAGTTTACATGCTTAGTTCCGAGGCTAAGAGGAATTATTAATAGTGCTATTGTTAAGTGACTGTTATCAGCCTCTACACAGACCTTGTTTTGTTTTTCTTTTCGTTCTTTCGAAAACATCGGCGAGCGCGCGAGAAAGGTTTTTATTCTTTATCACGGGCGCTCGACGGACTTTTTCGAAAAACATCGGCGAGCGCGCGAGAAAGGTTTTTATTTTTTACTACGCGCGCTCGACGGACTTTGAAGAGAAAAGAGGGTCTGTGAACAGGCTAGATTGTTATATGCCGTAAGTATTTTTCTAGCTGAAGGCAAGGCGGCATAGGCTCAGTATAGGAGACAATAGTGCCTGAATACACTGCTTGTATCTTTGAAGGGGGGATACTCTCTATAAGGGCCTATGCTTGGAGGCTCTGCCTTTATGGGTTACCTTTTACAGGCTTCAGGTATACGAAAGGGTAGGGATTTCACCAGTTGAAATGTATGAAAGGGTAGGGAAATCTGTCATTTCCGTCTGTAAAAAGGCTCAAAAGGGCTAACAGATGCATTTTATAGTTGTGAAAAAGTCGAGAAAAAGCGCCGGTTTTTCGATTTATTTATTTTTTAAAGAGTTAGAGCATTAGCAGCGGTTTAAAGGGATGCAATGTTCTGAACTAGGTATGTGAAAAGGGTACCATTTGTCAATAAAGAGGTACCGCTTTTCTGTCAAAGGGTATTAAAGGGGTTGGACCTCTGCGCTGAGCCTCCCTGTATGACACTTTGTTGAGTACGCACCCCCACCGGGGCTTTGAATGGGTTTTTTCCGATCCGAAAATTTGAAAGAAATACTGAATAAAAAACTATGACACTTACTCTGCATTAAGTCTTTGATTGCAAGTCGGAGGTCAACAAAAATCTTACCCACTCGGGGAGAGCCTTGGTTGCCTTCTAAGTCTTCCCCGGGCGAGTGCGATTTTGTACGGTACCCAGGCCTCGTTTGCTTGGCCGCGCGCGCGTTGGTCTGGGCAGATTTGACAGATTTGTAACGGCCATTTTTTCTGGTTTCACGGAATTTGCTGGATTCGTTTCGCTAGCTTGGGGGAAGCTTCATGGTCTGAATATTTGAGACAGTTCTGTTTCCACGATCTCGGCGTTGTAATGTACCGTTGCGGTTTGAATTTCGTGAAAAACGTCGTGTTGGAAAGCGAGTCCATGTGATATGGCGGCTAGCGATCGAGCAACATAATCTTTTTTCTTGAATGGAGGGAGGATTTAGCTGATTTCCTGAAACTACCTGTGAGCATTGAGGACAGAGACAACTAAAAGCCAGGTAGGTGTCATAGATTTTTTTTCAGTGTTTCTTACAATTTTTTGGATCGAAACTTCAACCCAATCAGTACAATACTGGTGAGCTTGGGTGACCTGTGGCTAAAGGGTGTGTCACAATGAAAATCATTATAACCGTGTCGAAGAAATTATACTTATCCTAAGTCATTATATAAAAAGGGGAAGAAAGGGTTACGAGTCCGCTGGCTTTGGCTTACCTACAATCGCAATTTACCTGTAGGCTAAAAGAATTATGAACTTTTCGGAGGCCTGTAAGCTTAAAAAATGGTTTTAAACTTTTCGGAGGCCCATTTTGGCTTCTGGCGTGTTTCTTCGACAAAAACTTCACTATTTAAAAACTCTTTTTACTTTTCTTGGACAAAAACTTCACTTTACCCATGTATATAAATGGGTCCATTGTCACTGGGGGGAAATGAGGGACTACTCGTAGTCCACAGGACTACGGCAAACCTTGTGTGACAACTCGGTGACAATAATTTTGTTTGAAATACAATTTCGCCGAACTATGACAAATAACTATGACAAAACACGTTTGTCACACACAAGTGTTTTGCTGTCCTCCTATTCAGGAATTTCTTCAAGCTGTCCTTTTGCGTAAACTCGCTAATATGTTGGGTTGACGGAGGGGTAACTGGAAAACTGTTTCAAATACTGGGAAATATGACAGCTGGAAGTTGCTAATATATGTGTGATGGTTCATGTCCTTTGTTTAAATTTGGATATGGTAATGATGATAATAAGGGTAATTATTCAAGCCGTCGCATAGAATTTTTTATCAAAGATGACACCGAAAACTTCCAGCAGGAAGTTGACGGCTCTACGCCTATGCTGTCGATGAATCCACCCGAAGAAGATAAATTAAACAAAGGTTAAGACTGAATCACAGCTTATACATTGGTGAAAAATGAAATATGGTAAATTTTAAGCTCGGTGAAACAAATGTGAAAACGAAATGATCAGAGTTTCACGAGCGTGGGACAAAGAAAAATCTGAGTCCCCGACCGGGTTCGAACCCTTGACACCGACTCAGATTTTTTCCTTGTCCCACGTTCGTGACATGCTGATCATTTCGTTTTCGTTTAAGGCTGAATTGTACAAGACTTTGCGCGTCATTTTTTATGAATTCACTGTGGTGAATCGCTCTGTGAAGACATTTATTGTTTTTAACCAAGGGTTAAAGGGTAAAAAAAAAATCATCTTGCAGAACGGAAAATTCACGAACTTTCAGTCTTCTCCTTTACTGCTGTTTTTACGCCTACGAATACTCTTCGAGCAATCAGCGTAAGAAGTATTTCCAAACTCCTGCGTAGGGTCAAAAAACTCCGTAGACCTCCACCAGTCCTCGAGCTTGTATTTCGTCAGAAGTTCATAAATATTCTTCCAAAACAGTAAGGCTATGTCGTCGAAAGTTAAGATTGGTCCCTTGTAGAGTTTCGCTTCTTCTCTACTTGGCCTGCATTTTGCAGTCCACGGCTTTGGCGGATAGCAGCAGGCAAAGTGGAACGACTTCAAGGGCCTATAAATGATTCGTCTAATATTGTAGGCATACGGAAGTTTATTCCATTTGCCGGCATCTACAAAATAAAAGGAGAGCAAATCTTGGTCGTTTGGGCAAGTGTCTTTCACCGTGATTTCAAACCAAAGTTTCATGATCTCATCGAAGTATTTTTTATCGGGTTTAAACACGAGTAGTCCTCCGTTAAAGCATGGATCGATTACCCCTGGTCTTCCACAAGGCACAGCTGCAAAGTCGTCTTCAATGTCAAACAATTCATCAATATTTGTCATTAACATGTAGTCGGCATCGGTGTAAATAATTTTGGAATAATTCGTGAATTTCCAAGCATGAAATCTGGTGTGTGTTCCCTTTATTCGTTGCTTTTTAAAAAGATCCATGTTTGCTTGACCGCCTAATTCCGCATCCATCCAGTTGCAATCTAGTTCGTCGACCACACGAGTCTCCCAGCCAACACGCTGTAGTGCTTTCGCCGCTGTTCCGCTGACTCGCTCCGAAATTAACGCAATCATGTTTTTCTGACAAGAAAAAGTGCGAATTGAATGGCCTAGCACCAGTGAAGGTACAATTAAGTTATCGTTCACCAAAGCTGTTAGCCATGTTACATTGCTTCTTGGTTCATCGTTTCCTTTGCACCATTCTTGGCCAAAGAGACTCTCCATCTGGTAAAGTCTCCATTCGTTTGTAGCAGTTTGTAGTTCTTTGTCTATAAACCTCTGTTTATCACGTAAAATTTCTGAAAAGACGATTTTCACGTATCTAAAGCCATACGCAATAAATATAGGCCTCCATGAACAAATAATGACCGTGAAAATTGCGATAGGGATAAATGACCACAGAAAAATCGTTCGCAACTCTATTAGATTCGCCATGTTGCACTCTCGATGGGCGATATTAATTATTAATATACTTTATTTATTTTTTTAGCTTCGCCTAACGGCTCCGGAAAACCAAGACAATCAACGGCTGTTTTCTGTAAAAAGTATGCTCGGAAAAGCAAAAATTGCATATAATTTTCGAAGCTTATCTAATAAATTCCCTACGATTTTCTGAGGTTTAAATATTTCCCTGGATTAAGCTATTTTTCACAGAAAATGTTCGGATTCGAAAATGCGATGCAAATAGGAATCAGAAAAATCTTCACCTTCATAAAACTTTAAATTACATCTAAAATTTTCGGGAAAATAATACCGAAGCCCTGGTAATTTCGAAAAGATTTAAGTTCCCCTAGGATGAACGAACAGAAATAAATTTTATAGCGCCAATAAGAATGTATTTCTAAAGATCTAAAAGTACTTTGGATAGCCTAAAAAGTGTTTTCAATGCATTTAGGAGGAAACCGTCGTTGGGTGCCCCTGTTTATACATGAATACATAAAAATTATTAGGCAGGGAGACAACTACAGCCTAACCTGAATTACAGTGGATCCCTCGTTGATAAAAAATAATCGTTAAAAAAAAATTAGCAATCCACTCGGACCGTGAACGTGTGATTGCGTAACCGTCACTCAAGTATCTTGACAAATGATTTCACTTTTGAATGTTCAGTTTCAAGAACCCTTCACGAACGATTTTCATATCCGTTAACTACCTAGCCTGAATTTCATTCGATTCAATCGAGTCGTTATTGCTCTCTCAGACATGTTTACATTTCATAGGCAATGTTATTTGACTTTATCAAAGGAACAATAGCGTCAAAATTAAGAAAAGACAAGCAGTTCTCACAATGTCTACAAGCAGTTCATGCTTGTACGTGAATTATTGTTTTTGAGTCAATTGACCACAACATCCATTGACACTGGAAATTCATCAGAAAAGTAAAATATGTGATTTGTAAACGTTTCAGTGGTAATAAACTCGTTCTTTCTTGATCATAGATATATTGTCAGTCACTTAATTTCGCGTCACTCAGACTGTTGCTGTTGCTAGCTGTTCTGTGTTTGTCCGAGTGAGTAAGACACAATTTTTATGTTGTGGCTAAATTTTGTTTCCCTCCCCCCCGTCCTCAAATTTTTATTTGCAATTTCGGAATACCCGGCCACTCGCAGGATCGCTTTTTCTTAGAAAAAAAAAAAACAAAAAAAGGAAAACACAGAAGAACGAAGCATAAATACAATAGTTTCTTTTGTTAAATATTTGATGAGATGCAAATAAGGGCCTGTTTACATGGAGGTGGGGGACCCCAGGTAGGTGAGGTAACCCGCTTAGGTGGGGTAACCCACCTGTCCATATAATCCCTCACTTTAATGTGATCACGTTTACATGTTAGGTGGGGTAACCCGCCACATGTTACCTCACCCACCTGGGGTCCCCCACCTTCATGTAAACAGGCCCTAAGAGAAATTGAAAAAAGAATGGTATGAATTGTTTGAATTGTATGTGATTGTGTGACGAACGCCTAAGAACGTCTTCGTGGGAGGAGTGTTGCGTGACGACACTATACAGATGGCAAATCATTATTGGAAGATGAAATGACCCTAGCCACCCTTTTTTACAGCTTTTTAAAGTCTATTTAATGATTCCTTTAATTCACAACATGACCAGATAACCTTAGGCAGCATCAGTAAGATATTATAGGTTGAATAGTCGAATTATAATATAACAACCTCTGCTTAAAAGGCAGAAAAAGCGGTCTGAGTGCTGGATGTGGCGAAGCATGTTTTCCCCTTTCCATCTGTTCAATCAGTTCGATCACGTCTCCTCTCGCATGGCTCTCACGAGTGACTTTTCACAATCTCTCCTTGCACCCACTTGCTAAAGCATCAGATAGCGCAGCCACTATTTAACAGATAAACCACCCTCCAGTGGTTAAAGCATTATTGCTTTCTCCACTGGGCAGAGATAGTATTATCAACCTTTCGAACAACTTAACTGGGTCCTCTCACGCACACCTTCGTTGGTATTGTCACGCCCCCTCTTTGGGCAGGAAGGCGTGTTAGAGCCCTGAGAACTTGTGGGTGGGAGGGCTGCTACTCTGGACAAAATAACTTGAAACGCACGATTTTTTGGGCATGCAGAATGCAGTCCCCTTGCGTCCTTGCAGTGTTGTTAAAAAGCACAGTAAGACATAGCCTACGTAGCAAGCGTTTCCACGCGAGTTTGTCAAGAAAGTTGAGACGAGGGCAAAAAAAAGGAATGACAGGAGAGGGGTTTTTGCTCCCGTTTTAACTTGCGCGCAATAACTCGACTGGAAACGTTTGCTATGCAGGGTAAGTAAGACATAAAACATGCCACGTTTAGTGTCATCTTACATGAATGATTTCACACTTACATGTTTGAGCGGTCGCTAAGCATAACAAATAATATGGCTTCCTTCGCTGTGATTCCTATCTCCTGAATGCGCTGATATTCTGTGCAGTGTGTACGACCCTCCCCCTTTATTCGAGTGAAATTAGTAAATAAAAGCTTTGTAGAGGAGTCAAGAAGTTGCGGTTTTCTACCGCTGAGGGTTTACGGATATATTGCTCAAGCAATCAGCATACGTTGTATTTCCAAACTCCTGCCAAGGACGAAACCACTCTGTAGATCTCCACCAATCCTCAAGCTCGTATTTATGTAGCAGCTCATAGGCGTTCTTCCAGAACACCATTGCAATGTCATCGAAGGTTAAAATAGGGGAGTTAAAGTTATAAGCTTCCTCCCTGTTTGGTCGACATTCGGCAGACCATGGCTTGGGCGGATAACAACAGGCGAAGTGAAATGACTTCATGGGTCTGTAAATATGACGCCTGATGTTGTAAGTGTAGGGAAGTTCTTTCCACTTGTTAGAATAGTAAATGTTCAGCAGATCCTGGTCGTGAGGGCACGTGTCTTTCGCTGTGAGTTCACGCCAGAGTTTCATCATTTCTTCGTGGTGTTTCATATTGGGCCTAAACACGAGAAATCCCGCATTGAAAAACGGATCGACAACACCGGGTCTACCACAAGGGACGGCTGCAAAGTCGTCTCCAAGATCAAACAGTTCGTCTACGTTTGTCATCAACATGTAATCAGCATCGGTGTAAATAATTTTAGAAAATTCTGTGTATTTCCATGCGTGAAATCTGGTGTGTGTTCCCTTTATTCTGCTCTTCCTAAAAAAATCGAAGTTTCTTTCGCCTCCTAACGTCGCTTCCATCCATTCACAGTCTAGTTCTTCCACAACCCGAGTCTCCCAGCCAACACGTTGAAGAGCTTTCACCATTTTTTTGCTTACTTGATCTGAAATCAACGCAATCATGTTCTTCTGACAAGAGAATGTTCGTATTGAATGACCCAGAACCAGTGAAGCGAAGATTAATTTATCGTTCACTAAGGCGGTTAGCCATGTTACGTTGCTCCGTGATTCAGCATACTCTTTGCACCAATCCTGACCAAAACGACTCTCCAGTCGATACATTCTCCATTCTTTGTTAACAGCCTCTAGTTCATTGTCCAAAACTCGCTGATTATCGCGAACTACACACAATACAATGAGCTTCGTAAACCTGTAGAAATACGTGACGAAGATTGGCCTCCATACGGCAATGAAGACCACGACAATTAAGACAGGGATTAATATCAATAAAAGGCAAACTTTTCGGAGTGTTTTTGAGCACGACACTGGCGATGAAGAGTCGTGTTCCTGTTGGCAGTTTTGCTGATCAGACATGACGCAGCGACTCACAAGAAGACTTATCGAAGTAAATGACTGAGGCATGCATGTATGTTAATTACTGCGTGTTACGGACATGTATGGCGTTACAGCGTGACATCGGGTGACGTGAACTTGACGTCTTTAGCGTTTTCGTTTTTCTATTCTGAAAAATTTCTCTATCAATCGATGGGGAACTATAAAGCGTTACCTTCTCTTACACTGCGGTGAAATTTTTAAATTGAAATTGTTGTATGACCTTGTATCGTGATAGGGTTCAAGATCAAGAGCCATGCAAGATCTAATATTATTTGCGAATAGAGCTCGCCTCAAGGCCTGGAAATTCATGTTGTTCACGTTGATTTGGACCGGTTTGCTCCGATGACTCTACACAAATCCTTCTAAAATTGCGGGCTTGGATCATAACGTTAACGATCCAATCCTATTTTAGAAGAATTTATGTTCGCAAATAACGTTGCTTATGTCTCCTCACCAATTTGCACCAAGAGACGGGCCGGGCGGGGGGGGTACTCCCATACATTACCTATACGGTTATGTGCCGCCCAACGGGGTCGTGATTTTGAAGCTCCTGATTTAGAACGGGGTATCCATTTCAGAGACTTTTGCTAGAACGGGGTATAATATTCCGAACGCACAGAACGAACGCAGAACGCTCCAGTTTTGTAAGCTACCATTTGAAATCATTCAAGGACTGATTGCTTTTAAAAATACGGTTCAATGAGTTTACAAGCAAACTGTTGTACCCTTGTTGCCCCCTAGAACAGAGTATAAAAAAATTGGCCCATTTCCAGAACAGGGTAGTTTTAGAGGGTCCCAACGGGGTTAACCGATAGGCGTAAAACGGCCAAAAATTTAGTCGATAGCCGTAAAAATTGAAAAATTTTAACCGTTAGCCGTAAATAGGGAAAAAAGAGTTAACCGTAAAAGAAATTGTTACCTAGATTTGCTACTTTTAAGGAAGTGCTAAACTCACTTATGGCTGCGTTTTTTATTTCGCGGCTAGTGTGACTCGCACGTTAGGCGAAGCACCTTTTACGTGTTAACCAAGACCTAGGCTCCATTTCTGGCGCTCTCTCGGGGAACTAACTTTTTCCATAGGGAAAGTGTGGTTTCTAGCTGGGGATTAATATTTGCAATTTTCTGGAGGTCGTGCCCTCGAAACACTAGTGAAACAACACGCAGAGATGTCAATGTTTGTAATTTAACACGTTGCTGATAAACAACATTTCCTTGTTTTTCTCTGACCCTACGGTAGACATAATGCCTAGTCCCTGTACGGCGTCTTCCCACGCAATCTCGTTCTAGGCATTTCGGTGGAGAACACGCTCGGACCACGAGACCCGAAACGCATTAGCCGTGCGGAATAATGCGGCCTACGGACAAGGCAACGGCAAACAGTCGTTCTGTACAGTCCTTCGCTATCATTAAAAACACTGGACACAGGAATTTTGTTATTGGCCGTTTTCACACTAGAGCTAGAAACGGATCATCCGTCTGAGACTAGCCTGTGTACAATCGCCCCCTCCCCCACAGACACCCCTTCTCCGATTTTTTCTGAGGGGAGGGGGCGGTTGTTCACAGGCTATCTGGAACGGATAATCCCGTCTTCAAAAGTCAGATGGATTGTTCATTCAAAATTCCATTTTCATTCCATTCCATTTTCAAATTACGACGTATTACCTATCTGACGCGAATCATCAAACGGATAACCAGTCTCACACGAATAATCCTTCTCTAGTGTGAAAACGGCCATTTCTGTTATAATGAGTGTCGCGCCCCGGCCTTGAGTTGGACTTTTGCGTGTCTGCTTTTGCTTTTTCACAAAGATTATTTTTAAATTGACTATTGACATTTCTATGTGTAAAATAATATTAGAAGTGGAATACTTTATAAAAAGTATGATCTATCAAATGTTAAAATTTTTCAAAAGAATAGCTTATTTCATCCCGAGATGATCCGAAGACCTTTATTTTGATTTAAAGATACAAAAAAATACGGGTTAATTAATATTTAACTTTTTGAAACAAAACAAGTTAATTTTTAACTTTTACGTTAACCGTAACTGAAAAAAAATTAACCGATAACCGTAAAAGCCACCACCCCATTGAGACCCTCGTTTTAGGGCGAATTCTAGAATGGGGTATAAAAAATTGGCCCATTTCTAGAAAGGGGTATCAATTTTAGGGGAAATTTTTTTCAGAACGGGGTGCCAATTTGGAGTCCCGGGCGGCACATACCCACCCAAAAAATACCCAAGTGCCCCCCCGGGCGGGCTGATTTTTGGTAAGTCCACATTTTCATCGTGTTTTATGCCAACCAATTGGTTTTGTGACGTCATCATTTCCCTTCCCTATGAATATTAAATAAGAGAATTTGGGGCTATACCAACATCCTCTGTTTGATAAATTTGCCTATTCTCATCACCTATCTGTTGGACAATGTAACGGATATTCTAAGGGCAAGCTACATGAAGGAGTTAACTCCTAGCCCAAGTTATGGAGAAATTGTCACTCTAGCTTTAATTTTCGGATGAAATACTAACGTGTTACCATTCAAATGAAACCTCTTCAACAATACTTTCACATGGTACGTGTAGTTCCAACTTTTGAGTCTGCGGATGAAGTCCTAACGTGTTACCATTCAAAATGAAACCTTTTTGGCAGAACGTTTTCATGGTAATATTTTTCTACAGGGATTTACCGAGAGAAACTTCAATGTTTTTGTGAATTTCTTCCTCGGTCACCACCTTATTGGAGTAGAAAGGGCTAACCTCAGTGGAGATAAACTAAGGGAGCATAAAAAATGAAGCTAAAACTTGATTCGTTTTGACAATTGGCAACTATACTATAGCTTCAGTGCGATAAAAAATGATTTGCTGGTTTGCACGTGACGTCATGGCGGCCATGTTTGTGGTGAAAGCATAATTTAAACATTTCTATCCTCTGGGAGCTTAACTCCACTTTCATGTAAATTCTTTAAAATAATTTTTAGTGTATTGACCTCCAACATGGCTGCAATGCCAGGTGGTTGCGAACCAAGAATAGACCGAACCATTACAATTTTATCTAAATTGAAAATATCTTGATATCAGCTTATTCCTTTTTATGACGTCGATTAGGTTGCTAAGGAAATGACTCAAAATAAAATGAAAATATTTTACTTTCTTTTTCTTTCTGAAACTGTAATAAGTATCGTATCCAAAGGGGGAGATAAACCCATAGTTTGTGATGTTCGTGATGTCCGTTTGAGCTTCAGTGTGCACGAGAATCTTGGAAGGCCAGAATACCTTTGGTAGCGTTGTTTTGCCTCTTGAAACTTTGAGGAAAGCATGGTTTTTTATGATAAGAGGTAAGGGGTGTGGATTATATTTATCTCAAAAAGCTAAGTGCAAAAGCTTCTTAAGTGCAAATTTTGAAACGTGAGGAAATTTAGCCACTTTTTAAGGTTATAGTCTATAGTTTAGACAAGGTGCATAGTCAGAAATAGAAATGGCCCACTGTGAGTCTTGTCAATAAAATTAATAATAATGCCTTTAAAAACGGCTTCGAAATTCAAGAAGTTGATATGAAACATATAACTGAAATGACCTTTACTCCACCAAATAGTTTTTAAAAAAAACGAATTTAACCTGAACAAATTGAATTTTTTATCTCCTCGGGTTTATTCCAAGACCTATCGTAGAAGAACTTCAAACAAATTTCATCTTTTATAGAAACAAAGACATTGAACTGTTAGCGGTGGCAAAAAAATTTTAATCAAGAAATTCGAGTTGCTGTCCACAAAACAACACCAAAGAGTAAGTTACCCCCTACTTTTCTCAAAACGTTTTCCACGCTGCGCTTTTCAAAAGCACCTGTAAATTTTCGTTTAAATTTAGCACTGGTTTGAATCAGTTGTCACGTAATGTAAAAGCCCGTTAATTTAAACTCATAGTAGATAGAAGAGAAATTGGTCGGAGACTGAACCAGAAAGAAGCTTCAGACTCTAGGAATTGTTTCAACTCTACCGAAATTTTGTTTTGGAAATCAAAATTTTTCCCCGCCTTAAAAAAGGAAACGATGGAGACTAATTTTGTCGTGGTAAGCGAAGAAATAGCTAAATATCTCTGAGATTAAACCAAACCAAACGACCCCTTGCAATTTTGGGTTTCTAAAATATACAACAATAAAATAGTGAACCATCCGCTGCAAGACCCATCGGAAACACACATATGTATGTTGTTCATTAATGTTGCATGGTTCCGTTTTCTTGTGATCTTAATTTAATTTAATTCCAAACTAAAATATTCTTAAATCAGGAACTTATTATCCATACAATTGAATATATATCTCCTGACTTAGAACTGAATTTGCGGCTGTCTTGTTGGTCACTGATGATAAATTGCAAGTTAAGGAATCCATTTCATTAAAAGCTGCTAATAAATACTTTCCTTTGGCGCTGAATGTTATACTGTAGATCATGGCTCTGTGAGGAAACTGCTATTTAACTTACAGGGAAATAACCTGTTGTTTCTTATTAGCTTGCGACTGCACACCCTCTGAAAGGTAAAGCCCTCACTCGTGACTCACAGGTACAAGATAGGTCAAGGTCTGCTTCCCTACCCCCCCCCCTCCCCCCCTCCCCACCCGGCTTAATTTCCAATGCAAATGTTGCTCTCGTTTCTAAATACATACTTTCGGCTAAATAAGTTCTCTAAAATTCGTTAGGCTTTAATTTAGGGACTTATCTAGTGGTTTAAGTACACAAACTGATCACTAAACGATTTTGAAGTTATTCTGCAGCCATCTTGCAACAGTAAAAACTCAACCGAATTAGTGTTTGAATAAGTATTAGTATTTTGAACGGCAAAACCACGACTGACATACCAATGAAATCAGTGGCCAGTTCTCCGGAAAAAGACCCAGACCAGTAAAAAAAAACAAATGGAAAAATCATAGTAAGGAAACAGATACTTACGACCCAGAAGAGAAGAAGCGCAATTTAGTGTTGTGGTTAAATTTTATCCTTGCCTTAAATTTTATTTAAACCAAGGATAAAATTGAACC